TTTCGGCGGCGGACACGGGGGCGGCGTCAGCTCCTCCTACGGCGTGCCCTCCCCCAGCTACGGCGTGCCCAGCTACAGCGCTAGAGTCGTCGGCATCGACCTCGAGGGCATCAAACAGGCCATCCAAGTCGCGCAGTACAACCAAGTCAGCCACCAGGCCGGAGGTGGCGGCTACCCCAGCGGCCCTAGCAGCAGCTACGGTGCGCCTAGTCGTCCCTCGAGCTCCTACGGGGCCCCCTTTTAAGCTCTGAGAGCTGCAGAACTGAACTGAGTGTACATACACCCATCCATCACACGGGTCATGATGCATCAAACACCATGCATTGATTTCTTTTTTGTATAAAGCTTTTTGTAGGTTATGTTTTATAAAAAAATACATTTGTCACCGTAAAATGTCCCTTATTTCATCCCAAATCCTTTAATGAAAGTTAGAAAGTTGCAAAGGTCAAAGGAGTAAATCTATTGCTCGAAGACGCTTCCACCAATTAAATGATTTCTATTTTATCAGAAGTTGCATGCTGAAGAGAAAGGAATGGCGATGTGGGTCGCCGATGACGTTTCCGGGCTTCGGACACTACGGGATATTTAACACATTTTGTGCGTTTCTCTTTCGTGGTTTTTTTCCGATAAATAATTACTAAATTATGCAATTTCACGACGAGGCACACCAAAACAAAATTATTGTATATACAGATATTTATAATTTCATCATCACGAAAAAATACTCTTTAAGCAACAATAATTTACATTAGCAGTAAAGTGTTAAGAAGTGACAGTAGATAGTGTCCAAAAATAAAAATTCGATTTCACTGAAGAAGCGCAGGCAATTCATTGAAATTGAAATTATATTACAAACAGCTTGCAGAACAAATTAAACCACCTGTCTTCCAAGTGTGGTGCTTGAAGAAGAAATTACCGTAGAAAATTTCTATTGACAATCTACAATTTCTGCAAATGCAGTTTTAAATTAGCATAACTTTTGAAATAATTTATGTTTGCAATATTTAATAATACGGGACTACAAAAACAGTTTTTTTTTAATTAATAATAAAAGATAATGGGTGATAATAACTTGGCAAAAAATTACTTAATAACACGTACATACAATGGTCTGCCATTTCAATGTTTTTTTTTTCTTATTCTTCACTTTTTTTACCAAATTACTGAGATTTTGCAAATTCAAATTCAAATCTTTCCGAAAATCTCTCTGCTTTGTTGTCAGTTTTGGAAAAAATGTGTATACAAAAGTCTGAATAATCCACATTTTGTATACAGGCTGCGCCAGAACTCGCGTCCCAGAGAAAATTTTTAAGTAAGGTAAGATATCAGGAACATGAAAAAAATGTTTAAAAAATTCTCTGTCAAAAAATTTTATTTTGTAATTTATTTTTTGACATTTGACATTTTTTTATATCTATTTAATGATACTGATGATCTTGTTTTTTTACAATTATTTAGTAAAGGGACAAAAATTTTGCCAATAAAAGCCACAAATAACATAATTTAGGATGCAGCTTCCTTGTTTCCTCTTTTCATAGCCTATAGCAAAAAACTTGGAAAATTATTTTTCCAACAGAAATAGAGTGCATAACTTCGAAATTTTTATAGATAGAATTTTTTTAAATTTTTTCCACGATCTTGGTACCTTACCCTACATAGCATTTTTCTTTGGGGCGCGAATTCTGGCGCACCCTGTATCTAGAATGGTCCAAATATTATCAATAGAAATATTCCGAGTGCATGCCAAATTGTCAATAATTTGTCGAGTGCACGAGACAAAATTAGAATCAATTTTACATGCACGAGAGGTATTTTGCAGACTATTTCCCGAACAAAGTTTACAAAAATAATATTTTCATTATGAGAAATTAAAAAAAAATCATTTGTGACAAGAAAAATTATGTCAATAAAATCATTCAAATGTATTTTTTCAACGTAGTACTTTTGTATTTTCTTATTTTATTGTTATGCAGTTGCAAATTTTGTAACGGTTATAAAAAATATCAAAAACTCTTGTTTTTGTTTTGTTTTTAACTTGTTAAAAGTTTCGTGGTGATATCAAACATATCAAAAATTGCTCAGCCCAGGGATCTAAACCCAAAGTTTTAAATGAATTATGTTGTGACAACAATGATTTGTAGAATGGAAGAAAGTAATGCCCGGCTTGACCGTCTACCAATTCCTTAAATATGACCATCTCCCAATCTCCGATTTCTCCACTACTACTGCAATGTTTATTATTATTCGTTGGAGATAAAAAAGGAATATTGCAGGTGATACTCCATGATTTAATGAAATAAAAAAAGTTTCCTGAAAGTGGAATGACATCATCACTTGACTAATTTGCATTAGAAATGATCGGAATTTGATGATTGGTTCAAAAGTGTTAAATTACTTTTGTGGCCAGAATATGAACAGAAATTCATAGATGACCTCTCTGAAAGGGAAAGCTTTTAACCAATCAAATTGTGGACTATACCAGTAAAATACTCCGTTCCCGCCTCAAATCTAGGTTAATTGTGAACGAATATACGCGGATCGCTGTTTTATGGTGAGAGACCACATTTCACTTTTACTACGTATAGAAAAGATGAGTAGGAAGAGAATACGTATTATATTACCATAAAACCGTTTTGTTTTTCCCAAAATGAACCCATTATTAGAGAATATTTTACAACTAGAGTTACAATTTTTGTTTCATTAACAGAAAAGTTATCCATTTTTAAAAATCAGCTACTTCACAGCATTAATTTACAGTTGAATTTGATAATTTTGCATGATGTTAATGTTTTAATTGGTAACATGTTAAACTGTTCTTGTTTTAATTTTTATTAAAAATCAGCCCGGCGCCTCCACCATTTTTATGCCACTGATGTTTTTAACTCGTTTTTTGTGGCAGGTTTTTAGAGGCAGGTAGAATATATCATAATTTGGTTCTCGATTAATTAAATACAATATGAGAAACACTCTTGAACAACGAAAAACTACTGATTTTTATAGCTCTTTACTAGCCTAAAAAATTATCACAAAAGAACCACTTTTGGGCGAATGTTTCACATAGAGCGGGTAGTGGTTTTAAAGAATTTTTTGATTTTGGCCCGTTTTTTGATGTATCCATCACACAATGTTTCTCCTAGTGGGTGAGGTTCTGTACTCCGTATTTCAGAAGTGTATTGTTGGCTGCCTACGCATCAATTAAATTCTAACCTATATTTGTCAAATTATGGCATTATTATTATGACCAAGAAATAATTAAAATACAAAACAATGGCATTTACTTTGTGGAACCTGTTTGAGGCATCAATTCTCTGTTTAAATGCAATTTGCATTTTACACGAGGAACGTTTTTTAGCTAAAAGTGAGTAAAGATGACGTGTAACATAACCTTATACTTTTTTTAGATTTAAATTTTAAATAATATTTATAAATTACCTAGGACTTGTGTACGGAGTTTTGTTTTGTTTTAGTTGGTTGGAGTTCAAAGAGTCCCAATGTTCATGGCTTTGGGGAAAATCCCTCAGCCAAATCTCAAATTTTGAATTTGGTGCATTCAATTAGGACTGTAGCAAGAAGTATGACGGTTTTCTTCTTCATTATAGTGTATTAATGATTATTTGTTTTAGTTCCATTGATATTTCTCAACATACTTACTATCGTCATTAAGTTAATATTAGGTTAATTATGTATTAAAAAAACTGTTTCTGTACTTGTTTTATAAATTAATAAATGAATTATTTACTATAATTTAGCTTTATTGCTATAGCAATACTTGCAAACCTAAAAAATGGCTTTTTGCTATTATTTCTAGGCTACATAAATTTTTGCTTTTTTACAATTTAATCCAAGACTTTAAATTAGGTTGGATAATGAAAACAGCAATTTCTTTAACATACTATTGTTACTAGAACTTTTTTCTAATAAATAATAAACATTTATTACCATAGCGTGACTTCTAAGAAAAGTGGAATTTCTTTAAATCGTGTGTGTATCTTAATCATGCAATAATTAAATAAAAGAATATAGAAAATATAATAAGTTAAAATTAAAATATTCTAACGAATTTGTTGACTACTTTTTTTTACAAATAATTTATTTTTTTATAACGCCATTATTTTCAGTTATTTAACATTTGTTAATTCCACTTCTACAAAATGTAAGTCTAAAATGTTACAAACATTTTTAGTCATTTCATAAGAAAGAACCTGATTTACTTTTAATAAACTACTAAGAAAATTAAAACCAACTCTAATACCTACTTCTTTATCTACTATAAGCTTCAAGGACATTTACTTCTAATTAAAAAAAAGAATGTTAACATGTTTTTTGTCACAAATCCGACGCAAAAGAAGAAGAAAATGACAAATCAATAAAATCAGGTAAAGTATCAAAACTACTACAGTGGTACTTAAAACTCTTAAACATAATTAATGTAAATTTCACCCGGCATTTTGGAATAGAAGTTTGAGCGAACATAATTTATACCTACAAAAAAAAAAAAAAGAAAACTAACAAGGTCCTGCACCTATATTATCATTTTAGCCCTTAATAATCTATTAGTACAGTAGGTACCACTGTAATGGCGAAAGTACTTTAGCATTATTTGCACCACCTGCGTTTTAATCTACAATTCAACCCGGAAGTGGTGTAAATGACCCATTAGCAACAACATTTATCATAATTGCAAAACAGCTGGTATTCACAACTGCCAAATACTTCTTTTTATCCATACTTTTCAATACAGTTATAAACCAGCTGGCGTTTTCGGTACTAGGGTAGGGTAGGACGAGGCAGTGATGCCGTTAATTCCACTAGTCGAAATTACAACCTCGCATTGTCTGTTTCGAAGTTGTACTGTACGCCTCGTGTTTCGCATATCAAACACACGTGTTTTAAAAAATATGTAATAATGTATCAAGTTTTGTATTTTGTTCAAAATGTGAATTTGTTGAAATTGTAATAGTGTAGTGTGTTATTTTTTGTCTGTTTTAACGGTTGAGTGGATAAGTCTGTTATCAGGTAGCTAATTTCTCTTAAATTTTTGTTTAGATAAAGTGGACAATTATGTATTTTATTAAAACGAGTGAATTTATTATGTGTAATCTTGTGACAAAGATACTATGCTAAGAGGATTTATTTATCGAGATGCAATCAAAAAGTGTCATCTTTTTGTCTTTTTGTTTTCTCTTGATTTCATAAATTAATAACAAATTATACGAGGGTATTAATCCATGTTAGTTTTTCTCTAATATACTGCTCTCAAATTATTTACCTATTTCCTTTCTAATTAATTAGTAGGATTTTAAACAGTTTTTAGGAATTCGTTAATGTGTTAAATTCGTTAAATTAATCAACAAAATTGTCTTTAACTTTTTTACAATTGTTTTATTTCATTTTATAATCTTATAATTCAGTGTAAATAAGTGTTTATAGTACAGTTGTTCGTCTTTGAATTTCTTAAGTTAAACAAAATTCTGAGTAAACATATAACAAAAAAGTATTTACTTAGGTTGTACGAGTATATTAGAAAATGTCTCTTATTAGGGCCGGTTTAGAGAACATTTATTAATGCAATTAAATTTTAATTAGCGATTAATTTGACATTTGGCTCTGCAGTAAATGACAACATGATGACAACTTAATATAAACGATTAGTTTAAACCTGAATTAAAATTTAATCAGCCCTTAAGAGCCTCAACAGTGAAATCAGATATTAATCAACCAGAATACAAAAATAGTGAACAAAGAGAATTCATTTTGATTCAGAATTTTCGAATTATGTTGCGATTTATTTTGCACTGCCAAACGTCAAATTAATCTTCAGGAAAGGTACAAAAATTTTAGCAATTAGAGCCAGAAATAACATTCAACATTGTTACAATAATTCTGGATATAAAGCTTCTTTGTTTCCTCTACTAATAGTCTGCAGTAAAAAAAAACATTAAAATTTTTTTTCCAACAGAAATAGAGTCAAAGTGCAAAATTTAAACTCCCATAATTTCGAAACTCTTATACATTAGATAGTTTTTTTTTAACATTTTTTCCGTATTTCTAGTATTTTATCCTACTTGGCCTTTTTTTCTGTATTGTTTTATTCACAATCATCTTCTTTAAAGAATAGAAAACCAATAAAGAATTTATCAAATTTTGAAAAACCTGATGTATGACAGTTCAGGTTGGGAAGTGGTCACTTCCTTATCAGTTTTCGGGTAGGGAAGTGGCCATTTCCTAATCTAAAAAGTCATTACATATCAACTGATAATGAAGTTACTATTTCCCAACCTGAAGTTTATATTTCATATAACTTGCTAAATGAAGTTGAAATGTCATATTTTTCAACCCTTTCATATGCAAGATAATTTGATTATTACTTTAAGATTGTGATCAAAAAAAAATTAAAAATTTGTGTACAAAATTATACAATACTAACTTAATACCGTATAATGCTTATCACTTGAAGATATTTTGTAATATACAGGTGTCTTCGAAATGACTCATAATACAAACTTTTGTAAATAACATATTTTTTTCATAAATCTTAAGTTACTCAAAACTCTTTAAAAATTAAAAAAAAACAATCATTTACATGATACTAACCCACTGCATCATACAAATGACTATGTTTTCTTACTACGTATAGCTTAAAGTTTGGACTTTTCAAGTAGTGAAATAGTTATTTTTATTTATACAATGTGATTAAAAAGACTTTCTATCAAGTAAGCGTATTAGTTGAGGACGTATGTTGTAGGTATGCCAAAGCTTTTGTTGTAGATATGTCAAAAAATTATTTTACAAAAATTGAAATATCAATCTAAGAAAGTTGAATTATTTTATCCTGAAATGGGATGTTCTTGATGTTTATTCTTACAAGTTGAACATTAGGGATCTCTTACAAATTGATATAAAAATTATTTTGACGTTTCTCAGTTGTCATTACAGCTGTATTAAATGTGTGAAACAACTCTTTTCTTAATCGTTTTACATACATGTATTTATTTCATAAACTAAGCTAAAACTAAAAGTAAAAACTAAGGCTGCTTCATTTTTAACAATATACCTACATCTCGCTCTTTTGCACTAAAATGTCACAGGTGCAATAAACACCCTAAAACTTATAAGCAAAAACACAAAAATGAATGAGGAAAAGTACAAACAAGTATTTTAAGTGAAATTTTGCAATAACTTCACTTTTTGAAGTGTCCGATTTATCTCAGAGATAAAATGCAAGGACATGGAATTTACAGAGCGGAGTGCACAAACAAAGATGAATCCTGGTTTAGATACATCAGCTTTGGAAACTGAACCTACAGACAACAAAGCAGTTTTTTTTTACCTGTAGCCCCTAAACATTTAAATTATGCTATGGAAATAATGTTTTCGTGGAAAACTACTATTAAAAGTACTAAAATGGGGTATTAAAAAATCAGTAGTTTTTGTAATAACGCGCAATTCGATTTAAAAAAGTAAACAGTGCGTTTTTTAGTGACATTTTTAAATATTTGTGATTTGAAAATCTTCTGTGTAGATATACCTACAGATATAAAATTAATATCACTGTTAATTATCCACTCACGTGGTTGCCCTTTTTGTTACCAAACTTGAATTTCAATTCACTTTTTAATGAATCTGTTGAATCTGTCGCATTTTAAAAAGAAGAATGTTTTAAAGAAAAAACAATTGCGTTTTATTCTGTGGCCGAATAATTTTGCTTTTTACTGTACGCATATCTAAGCAAATTTTATTGTTATTACATTTTAAATGTGGTAGGTAATAAAACTTTATCTCTTTTCATTTCCTTATTTACGTTTTTAATTTCACTGTTGAGATTTTTTGTGATAGTAAAAACAACTGAAAATACTTACTGTCACCAATGAACAATGCATATTGTCATAAGTATTTAACCAAATCAAGTAACTATAGTTTGCATTTTATGCAAAAAAGAGAAATCAATATCAATTGAATTGCACGAGAAAGTGTTTTGAAAGTCAATTATTTATATCAGGAACAAATATTTCAATGAATGTATTTTGACAGCGATACAACAGGAATGTTATTTTAAAATTTGCACCACCCTGTATACCATTTCTAACACCTAAAGTCTGTTTTTTTTTAATGGAAATGCCAAACAGTCTTAACGTTGGCACCACTAGTAAATTCATTCATGGTAATTTTAGTAAAGGAAGTTGGCAGTTCCGGTTTTTTGAATTAAGTTGAAAACAGTGTCATTAAACTTCAACACAAAAACGTCTAAGAAAATTTAGAGACGAAACACCAAAAAAAGGAACAAATTCGGTACCACTAACAGTTTTTAGAAATTTGGAAACGAATAGTTCGCAAGCAGGAGGTTAGAAAAAGGGCAATTTGTAATGCAGTTGCTAAACATTCTCAATTTTTAGTAAAAATTGACAAGACTACAAAATAAACACGAATGAGAAAGAACCACGGAAAGAACGCAATTAAATTAGTGTCTTGTGCATCGTTTTTGAGGAACGAGTTGAAAAAGTAACAATTTTGAAACTAAAGCTGAAGAAGAATTTATAAAATGCATCAACTTTGAGCTCATTTCAATAAATTACACAAAATTTATTGCCATCATCATAATAACTACTTGTATCGTTTGCTAAATAAATATTTTCTGAATATACATCCTTTTTTTTCAAAGTTTTTGTAGCAAGAACCTCATTTGTGTCCACAACATTGTACTTACTTGCGGTGTCTTTCTATCAAAATTATTAGCACTGAATTTTGTCTTTAGACCTTAGGTAATGACGTCTGACCTCAGGTATTCAATTATAGCGCTTTCAAAGAGCAAACAGGCACACAAGATTCATAAATGTCAAAATTTTGACAACATCTCAATTTGAAAACATAACCATAATTTTTTAACAAAATTTCTAGAGACAAAAACAAAGAGCAAACAATGCTACCAATTTTTTCACCAAAATTTTGACTTGGTAATTTCCATTTAAAAAAAAACAGACTATACGTTTTTCAAACATCCAATCAATATCTGATAACAGTAACTCGGTACAATAATAAATAATTGTCAATAAATGATAATTTATGGCATTCTTTCATTACTTTTAATTGTTATAAAAACCGGTGTTTACTTGTTTAATTTTCCAGAACAATGTTTTGGTTATCTGAAGAATCAAAATTTACTAGGTTTCACGCATTTGGTGATCATTGATCAATTTCTTGTGACGCTTGAGCTTCCTCAAAGTGTGAAGTACGCACTCATACCGTCTAATAATAGGTTCAACAAATAGTTGATTCACAGGTTGATTGCAAGGATAAAATTCCCGCTATTTGGTTAGTCAATCATTGAACAGAGTTCAAAATTTACTCCGATGTCGACACAATATCGCAAAAATATCTTCTGAGAGTTTTTCTTAGGCTACAGATGGTTTCAAAAAATCTGTCCACATTAGTTTTTTCGATCTTGAGCAAGCCAAAAAAAATGGCTTTATTTTCCCTTCAATCCAACTCTTGGCTCTTAGGCCAATTTAAAGTTAAATATTTACACAGATTTGCTATTTCTGGCAAAATGCTTGTTTTCTACTCACTAGATTGCACGATAAGTAATTACCAACACTTATAATCCATCATTGTGACAGTTTAATCAAGTACAATGGTTAAGAAGAAATTTTGATTTTAATATTATAAATGTCACATATACCTATGATAATAATCGATAAATTTTTATTTAAAGAGTCTTGAAACTATTTTTAACCTATTTCCGCTCAAATTGGGAGATAAGATCACTATAATAAATGTGATAATTGCTGTGATTTTGTTCATTTGTTTCCAGTGATCGCCATGTCTGAAAGAAACGGGGGTGCTACAGTGCCTCGAAGTGACACCGATGACGTCGAATTGAGGAACTTGTCATCTGATAACAGTGACAAAAGGACGCGGTTTCAAGTGAATAGAGTACGAAGTGAAAGCCACAATACGGACAAAGATGGAAAGGATTCCGTCGGTATTCTCACAGAGGATGATAACACTGACGATGACGATTTGCATTCGGTCACAGATAGGACACGACTCAACTCGGAGTATGCGAAGAGTTTCCGGTGAGTTTTAGTGGAAATGTTAATAACCTAGTGATTTTCCAGTCTTATGTTGATAAAATTTTGTTCCTTGAAAAGGTTTTGGTGGTTTCCCGCAATACAATACAACAAAGGAATTTGTTGTATTTTTAAACATATTTTGTGAAATTACAATAAAGTATTTATTATTATTTATAAATTATTATTGTTAGGTGCATTGTTGCATAAATTGATGTTGAAATTGTTCTCATCTTTTTTCTTCAGCTTAATTGAGAGATTTGTTAGAAATATCGCTTTACTCAGATTTTTTTTATTATATTATAAACCACATTCGAAAAAATTTAAAACAATAAATTATTAATATTGAAATTAACACACTCGGGAGTTGAGCGACAAAATTATGGAATAATCTTATTACAACTAAAAATATTTGGTTTTGAGAAAAATACTCAAACAGATCAATTTTATTTTAACGAATTTAAACTTGATTTAAAATTTTACACTTTTTGGTTTTTGAGTAATGACGTTAACGTTTTTTTTTTAATGGAAATTATTTTTTAGCTAATTCGACAGATCTTTTAACTGTCGAAGTAACAACACCAAAATATTAAAGATTACATAGTTTTCGAAAAAAATTCATGCAAAAACTGAAACAATATCAACAAAAAAACAAACATACAATTTTAAATCAAGTTGAGAATTTTGCATTTTTTAAAAAGAAAATTGACCTGTCAAAACAAAATATTTTCAGTTTTAATAAATAAAATTAATCCATAATTTTGCCGTTCACTGTATTTGATTATTTTAGCTATTGCATCTCCATTTTTTTTGCATTTTCAGCACTGGTTATTTTCCTTGTTTTTTTTTAATCTTTTATGCACCCGTTGAAATAAGAATTTCTGAAATGAAATTGGAATTATACGGTTTTTACAAATTTTGGTTAAACGTACATTTGAAACCAATTTTCTTCAATTTTCCACAAAATAACTGTTGTCGACTTAACAAATCTTAAGACTAGTCCGGTAACGGGTAAATAATAGGATGTGTTTTTTTGAAAAAGAAGAAAAAATTGTCCAGCACTAGAAAAATGTTTTTTGTTTTGTTTCTTGTAGTCCGTTATAGAATTTTACCACAATCATCATTATCGATATTTTTTGTATTTATGAATTTGTTACATTTTAACAATCATTGAAAAGTGTTAATTGCTGTTTTAGAAATGCTATTATTTATTAAAAAAACACAAACATGCATCTAATATACATTACTTTTTGTAGTAGACTAGAGTAGGCTATGGAAATTTGGTTGTGGCTTTGGTCTAAAACAAAAATTAATGTATTATATTAAAAAAAAATTATATGTATTAAAAAAATTAGATAAAACATGTATTTGATTTCATTCACAATTACTTATTTACTTTATATATCGATAAGATATTTGAGGTTTTTCCGTAATTATGGAAAATTTGAAGCACCTATGAATTATACTTTTTGGATTTCATATTGAAAATTACCTACTTATATTTATTATAAAACTTCTAGTTAAAAACTGGTCTAACTTTTTTGATAGTTTGTTGTTAATTTGGCCACAATCTTGCTACACTAAATACAAACGCATATTTGGCATTCAATGCGAATTTTTATTTTTCCTAAAGCAACTAAATAAAAAGCAGAATTTTCTTTTTCCTTGATTACATGTCAAGTCTTCATTAATGAGAAATCAAGATTATAAGACATGGTTTTTGTGTATTGACCTCAAGTTTGCTAAGTTTACTGACCTTAGTGAATAGGAAAGTTTTTGGTTCTGAACTGTATCTCATGAGATACTTTTATAATTATTGAATAATTAAAATTAGGCGTTACATAATAATCCGAGCACTTTTTTCTATAACATTTAAGAACTAACAATGAATTAATTAAAAGAGATAATTAGTGATAGGTTAATATAGTTAACCTTGACATTTAACTTGTTTCTAGATATTTGTTATTAAGTTATTATTATTCGTGATAAACTGTAATAAATAATAAATTTTTAATTTCTTAAAGAAATCATCAATTTACCCTGTAAGGTCGTAATTTATACATTCATACCTAAATGTCGCAATGTCTAGCCTTTAAAAGTCTACGAGATAAGAAGATAACATAAGTTTTAAAGATACATTTAAAATGTCGTATTCATTATTATTGCATTTTACAAACTTAAAAAAAGATAAAGGTCGAATGGAAATATTTGAAATGTTATACACATGAGTATTTTTTCACAAAGTATCTATTGCAAATGTTTTTAATTTTTCTTTTATAGTACGTTTATATTACAATGTTTGTAAATAAATTTCAATCAAAATCTAATTATAACGTATTATGTAATAACAGAAATTTACCATTTCAGTTTTTTGTTTCAACACTTTTGTTAGCATAGTAGACACAATAAATAAACGATTCAACTTCAAACAAAAAATTCTGCTATGTAATTATTTTAATTAAAAATGTTTTTCCAAGTTGCAAAATCATCGATTCGATGGAATAATTATTAGAAAATTGAAGTATATTTTACTGAAAACAAGATAATTGCTCTGTAATTACGGATGTTGTGGTAGGTTATTCCATAACCACAATAACGTAAACTTCTTTTAATATTTATTGTTTCCGGTGTGGATATGTAAATTATGCAGGGTGGTTTTGAAATAATAGGCAATTTTTTTTAGATTATTACATATACAGGGTGATTTAAAAAAACTGTTGAATGATCTGAACAGACAAAAACTTAACCAATTTTTTGTCATGGGAACTTTTAACTCAGTTGGATGTCCTTTATCACTACCCAAGAGTTGGTCCCATACTTTTTAATCACCCTGTAGAATAAAAAAGTCTAAACAAACTCTCACCGTAACTGAGAAAAAATATGACTTTCTGTCTCGCAATTGTGTTTTAATCTAAATTCTACGTTGTATACTAATGTTTGATTAAAAAACGCATTTTCCAAAACGTATTGAGTAAAAATTTTACATTGAAATAAACATATTACGTGAAATATAGAATGAACACGGTTTTTTTTTACGATGTGAGTTAGGTAAATTTTTATTAAGACTTTATTGATATGTCATGAATTATGATCAAAACTCTGTAATTTGAGTCTGTTATTTCAAAACTATCCTGAATACTTTTATAGTTTTTTTTTATAAACTTACTAATTTATTTAATTACGATTTATTTTTAGACACTTGACACGAGAGGCTTTACCGAGACTAGACAACTACAGAAACATAATGTCAATACAAGCTGCAAACAGACCAACTCTTGATGAACTTCACAATGCCACTCTACCCAACAAGGTAAAGTAAAAAAAAAAATTAAAAAATTCTGTCTACAAAAATTTCAAAGTTATGAGTTTAAATTTTGCACTTTGACTTTATTTATTTCTGTTGGAAAAATAATTTTCAATTTTTCTTTTACTACAAGCTATTAGAAGTGGAAACAAGGAAGCTGTATCCTAAATTGTAAATCAGTATTATTAAAATGATATAAAAAATGTCAAATGTCATTTTTTTTTGACAGATACAATTTTTTAAACATTTTTCCATATTCCTGGTATCTTATCTTATTTGAAGTTTTTCTCTGGGGCGCGAGTTCTGACACACCCTGTATAGTATTCCAAATCGCGATTTCAGAAAAAATTTAATGTGTGATATTCTGAACTCCCGCTAATTTGTGCCTTAACAAATAACTGTTTTGCTAATAGTTAATTCATAGCAACTGATGTAAAATTATTGATGCTCCTTTAAGTGACTTTCTTTTAATTGGCTTAAATTCCAATTGGCTTTTCATGACATCCTCTCACGTATACTTAAATGGCACAGAACCAGTCACGCTACAACTAATTAATTATTTACAACAATTTCGTAACCACCCATTGTGAATTATCAATTCAAAATCGTTGATGCGAAATTATTCCGAAACAATAGCTATTCATTCGTTGCATACGGTAATGGGTTTTTCAATGGTTTAATGCGTGGAGGACTTTCGGACCCAATAACATTTTTTAACACGGCGAGTATTATAATTTATGTCTTAATGATAAAAACATAAAAAATACATAATAGATTAAGATCGAATTCTACAAACTAACGTGAAAAAAGCTAGTTAAAAAATAGCCTTTGTAAAACTTAAGCATTAAGATTCTGACTCATTTACTGATTTAGCATTGTTTTACACTTCAAGGTGTTTCAACCATCTTATTTGAATTATCAGGACCTAAAATGAACAAGTGGAAAATTTAAATAAATGACATTTTACATTTGAGGAGTTTTTTAATAGTAATTTACGTTATAAGTCCGGTAAGTTAGATATTACGGGACTTTTACTTATTTATCGGCTTTGATAACGTAAAAGCTCAGTTTCCAGAATCAAAATGGGGAAAAAATAATCAAACTCAAATTTCTAAATTCAGCGCTTCTAAATTATTCATGGGAATAACATTTAATAAATTATATTGATTTTTGATATCACATTAAACGAGCTTTTTTCTTGAACCTTCTATAAGTGTTAAAAATTTACATTTTATTTTTTTATTAAGAAATTATAAAAGGTCAAAGTTGATGCAATGACAGAGTTGCTAAGTTTTTGTCATTTGATGGGTTTGCAATCTTGGTAATCTTTCATTAATTATTTCCCGACCACGGGATGTAATGACAAATCTCCCGACTTAAAAAAGGTTAGGAATTGCGATTGTGAATAAACAAATTATAATATCGATCAAAGTGAAAAATTCGTTGTTGTTTATTTCTTTATCAAATTTTATGAAGTGTATCGCATGAGTTTTTTAGTGCTTCTGCAACAAATTAAAGTTTATTATGTGTTAGAACCGCAACACCTATTCTTCAAAAAATTAATAAATCGTATATGGTCAGCCACGTGTGCTTAAAACGGTGTTTTACTAAAGCGGTTATTGTTGGTTGTTTAATTTAATTATTTGCACTTGTAATGTCTAATTTACAGCACATGTTTAAAGTACTAAATAAATATTTATTTGCGGCAATCCTTTCAACAATTGTTGATTTTTACAATGTAGGCTTTGACGTTATTGTCATCATTTATTGTTTTCTTGAACAATGTCCCTTATGTAAAAAATATACAGAGTGAGTCAGCTCAAGTAAAAAACAAGCTGGAGAATTTAGTCTTTAATTTAAAGAATTCGTTATTGAAATATCTTTTTGGTCAATGAAAATGAGTCACCCTGTACTACTTACACCTTATAATTAAATCGGGTAAAACGTGAGCGATAAAATGAGATGTGGTCTGTCCTTGTGCTGGATTATGCGATAAGTATATAAATTACCGACAACCAATATCCAATTATAGTTGTAGTAGGTCCCGAAAGGAGAGTAAGTTAATACTTAGTCGGTAACAAAGATATATGACATCAATTTACCAATTGTTTTTAATATGAGTACGATTATCTTTAGTATTTTTATTTGGAAAGTTGTCCAAGAAATTTTATTTTTAAACGAATAACAATTAAATCAATTTTGCTTTCCGGAACCTGTCTATACAGGGTGCGCCAGAACTCGCGAGAAAAATGCCATATAAAGTAAAATACCAGGAATATGGAAAAATGTTAAAAAAATTTTATCGATAAAAATTTCAAAGTTATGAGACTTTAAATTTGCACTTTGATTCTATTTATTTGGAAAAATAATTTTCCAAACTTTTTTGCTACACATAAGAGGAAACAAGGAAGCTCTATCCTAAATTGTAACTCTCTTCAATGTTATTTGTCGCTTTTATTGGCAAATTTTGGTACCTTTACTAAATGATTGTAAAAAAACATATACAAGATCATCATTAAATAGACATAAAAAAATGTCAAATGTCAAAAAATAAATGTCGAAATTTTTTTGACAGATACAATTTTTTAAACATTTTTCCATGTTCCTATCTTATCTTACTTGAAATTTTTCTCTGGGGCGCAAGTTCTGGCGCACCCTGTATAACTGCCTCCTACACTCGATTAAATGTACGATCGCAAATTTTCAATATGTATATAAATTTGAAAAGATAAAGACAAACAAAACATAAATATTCGAAACACTATTATTATTAAAAGTTTGTAATTTCTGACATAAAAATTTCCACTAATTTTGTGTGGAAAAAAATTCCAAAATTCCAAATCAACTTGTTTGGTAGTTATAGCTAATTTGTGTTTCATGATTTCTGATGAAAATAATAATTTACTATTTATTCACCGTCACGAGGGTGACCGAATTCTGCATTGGATCAAGTTTCAAGTTTTCAATATCCAATTTAAATTTTTTTCTAAGATTTTTTGCATCAGATTTGAAGGTTGTGATCCGCGTTTTTATTTCTTCTTGTAAACACGTAAGGAATTTAGAATTTTGTGTAAAAAAGACAAGTTGGAAATAATGAATAAAATGAAGATCGAAATGTTGACATTCTTCTCTTCTGTCTCCACATTCTTCAATCTTGCCAACCTAATTACAGAATCACAGATTTAGAAAAACATTTTAAATTTAATACTGTGATCTAATATTAGCATCGAAACTATTATTATCTGAATACAATGGGTACCTATGACTTATCTTTCGTTTTATTGAAGCCATGAACCTCAATTGTAAATGTTCCACTATTACAATCGTCAGAAATAATATAAAACAGGATAAAATACTTTGATTTCTCCTACTGATTATTATCAAAGCTGATTTAATAAATATAATTAGTGATCCGGCATTCACAACAAGCTTATCTAACAAACATTTTAAAAGATTCGAGACTAACAAGGTTTGGATTTATCTTGATTTTGATTGCTATTATTATATTAATGATTGTTAACTAAAATTTATTATCGTATTTATCTTTGAAATTCATTTTCGTCCCAAATATTTGACAATTAAGAGATTAATAGCTGTTAACCTCTATCAAATCCAATAAATTAATTGACCTGTTGGTTAGTCATGAAACTATTTTACAATTAATACAATATTTAATTTAAGAAACAGTTTTATCCGTAATTGGAGTTAATTAAGTACCTACAGTGTTAAATTTGTTTCAACTCATGCGATTTTTGGGCCACACTAATTAATTTCAATTAGGTGTTTTACAAGTTTTTTTAAATTACATGAATTTTATTTCTTACAAGTATGAAAAAAGCAACAAAATTCAGTTAGTTTGTGGCTTTAACTTTTAATTAAATCTATTTTTAGCATCTTGTTAATGCATGTAGGGTGTCATCTATCGATTGTACTTACCTGTATCAATTTGAGGAATTTGAAAAGCATTTCTAATCTTAAAATTGAATAATTTTTGTAGGATTTCCACGTATTATAAATGTTTTAGTGATATATTTTGTATTAATTAAAATAAGTATTGAGCTATTTCATCAGAAATAGGTACTATTAACTCCGAAATACTGTTCTCTTTTGTTAGATGAAAAATTGTTGTCAAACCTGAAAATCACTTACGAAAAACTGACAGAAATTACACTAGAGAGCATAACTACCTGCAAATTGTAAAGAGTTTGATTTATTTATAAAAGTAATTGAGTTTTTTATTGGTGCATAATAAATAATAACATCAAATTTAATTTTCAACATATATCAATAAATTACAATGAGTTGTTAAGATTAACTAAAAACTCGTAAAGAACATTCCTTTCCTAGCTTACAAAAAGAAAAAACTTACGAAAAACTGACAGAAATTACACTAGAGAGCATAACTACCTGCAAATTGTAAAGATTTTGATTTATTTATAAAAGTAATTGAGTTTTTTATTGGTGCATAATAAATAATTACATCAAATTTAATTTTCAACATATATCAATAAATTACAATGAGTTGTTAAGATTAACTAAAAACTCGTAAAGAACATTCCTTTCCTAGCTTACAAAAAGAAAAAACGAAGAAAAGAGAATCTAAATTTATGAAAATTTTTTCTGTAAGAGTGAGAAATACATGAAAAATTTGTAAAACTATGACTTTGACCACTGGAGAATAAAAAATGAATAAATAAAAGTAAAAACTTTGTTCATCAAAAACTAAAGACACATCCCATCAGAAAGAAATAATTTCTTTTGTTAAAAAACCTTAGAACATGTCATGAATAGCTTTTATCAAAAGGAATATCATATCTTTACGTTCATTGTTTTTTGTAGACATTGTCGACACAGCAAATAATTGTAACACTAATACATATATACAAAGTGAAACATTTAATTAAATAAATTTCTGTAACACCTAGCAGACAAGTCATGTCAATCTCCTCATTTTAATTGCGTAATTATTTAGAAAATGGCCATTGTTTAACGTCCTAATTCGTGCAAAAACTACTAATTGGCAAAAAATCTATTGTCTAAATGTGCTGATTTTGTTACATTATTTAGCGAATTTCTAATTAAGAGGGACCATAAAAATCATCCATTTGTAAAATGGCTTTACACAGTTGCACTAGTTCAAATACAAAAATTTGGCTGAATATCAACTACTATAAATGGACAACAATTCTAAAAAATTACCTACTTATGAATAGTTGAATTTATTTGACTTCAATTCGATAATGCAGGAATCTGTTTAAAAATTAGTCAGTCTTCCAATAAGTTTATTTAACTTGTCCTAAAAATTAATTTTTGTTAATCGAATGCTTTCTACAGGTTAGCGTTAGAGTTGGAGATTTCAAAACTAAGTACCTATAGGCATTACATTGCCCTCTTGTGAGCAGAAGTCTAAAGTTTTCGACACCTACAGCGAGATAAATTGGGGAAAATTGCGCGCGTAGTAGATAAAAGTTTTCCAAAATTTTCACGGGAAATTCTTTCAAATAGTGTCTAGTTGTTAAAAAACTAGTTTGGTTCAAGTTTGTCGTCATAACGTTTACAAAAACTGTAATGTTGCTCAAAGTGCTTTATTTTAGACGAAATCTTCGATTTAAGTAATTATTTCGTAAAAATACATACATTAATTTACAACGATTTTAAACTTAAAATTGAGAAATAGCACAAACTGATTTATTTTGTCCGCAAATTGGAATTTATGTATTAATTTTTTTGAAATACATTGATTTAGAGTGATTTCCTGGTTAAAACCGGGCAAAATTGGTTTGTAAATAGCTCAAATAACTTTTTTGGTAAAAAACTGCAGTCTAAGCATTTATTTTGTTAAAATACATTGATTTAAAATAATTTCGGGATTGAAACCGAGCAAAGAGCCATTAGAAATGGCTGAAATCGCGTTATTTTGGCAGAAAACTATGATTTAAGCATTTATTTTGAAAATACATTGATTTAAACTATTTCTAGTTTAAAAATGAACCATCGATTGGAAATAGCACAAATTGCTTTATTTAGGAAAAAAATTGGGATTTAAGCATTTACTTTGTTAAAATACATTGATTTAAATTGATTTTTGGCTTAAGGTTGAGTCAAATCGATTGGAAGGAAATAGCACAAAGTGTAGAAAGAACAATTACCACTTTTTCAAGCTTATATGAAGTTGATATTTTAACGAAATCTTTGATTTAATCGTAGAATCGTAGAACGACGATTTTAAACTTAAAATTAAGTCAAATCTATTGCTAATAGCACAAACTGTTTTTTACCCTCAAATTGGGATTTTCTGCATTAATTTTTTTGAAATACATTGATTTAAAATGATTTTCTGGTTAAAATCGAGCAAAATTGGTTTGGAAATATCTCAAACCGCTTTATTTTGACAAAAAAACTGCAATCTAAGCATTTATTTTGTTAAAATACATTGATTTAGAATAATTTCGGGATTGAAACCGAGCAAAGAGCCATTATAATTGGCTCAAATCGCTTTATTTTGGCAGAAAACTATGATTTAAGCATTTATTTTTAAAATACATTGATTTAGAACGATTTCTGGTTTAAAAATGAACCATATCGATTGGAAATAGCACAAATTGCTTTATTTGTTGAAATACATTGATTTAAATTGATTTTTGYCTCAAAATTGAGTCAAATCGATTGGAAGGAAATAACACAAAGTGTAGAAAGAACAATTACCACTTTTTCAAGCTTATATGAAGTTGATATTTTAACGAAATCTTTGATTTAATGTAGATTGTAGCACGACGATTTTAAAGTTAAAATTAAGCCAAATCTATTAGTAATAGCACAAACTGTTTTTTTACCCGCAAATTAGGATTTTATGTATTAATTTTTTTGAAATACATTGATTTAGAACGATTTTCTGGTTAAAACCGAGCAAAATTGGTTTGGAAATATCTCTAATCGCTTTGTTTTGGCAAAATACTGCAATCGCATTTATTTTGTATAATTGGCTCAAATCGCTTTATTTTGGCAGAAAACTATGATTTAAGCATTTATTTTTAAAATACATTGATTTAGAACGATTTCTGGTTTAAAAATGAACCATATCGATTGGAAATAGCACAAATTGCTTTATTTGTTGAAATACATTGATTTAAATTGATTTTTGYCTCAAAATTGAGTCAAATCGATTGGAAGGAAATAACACAAAGTGTAGAAAGAACAATTACCACTTTTTCAAGCTTATATGAAGTTGATATTTTAACGAAATCTTTGATTTAATGTAGATTGTAGCACGACGATTTTAAAGTTAAAATTAAGCCAAATCTATTAGTAATAGCACAAACTGTTTTTTTACCCGCAAATTAGGATTTTATGTATTAATTTTTTTGAAATACATTGATTTAGAACGATTTTCTGGTTAAAACCGAGCAAAATTAGTTTGGAAATATCTCTAATCGCTTTATTTTGGCAAAAAACTACCAAAGCATTTATTTTGTAAAATACATTAAAATCGCTTTATTTTGTCAGAAAACGGTGATTTACGCATTTATTTATAAAATACATTGATTTACAACGATTTCTGGTTTAAAAATGAACCATATCGATTGGAAATAGCACCAATTGCTTTATTTTYGCCGAAAATTGTGATTATTTAAGCATTTATTTCGAGCTTGATATTTTAACGAAATCTTTAAAAATTCGCTTCTTTGCTGTTATTGAATAGAGCATACGCTTTTCTTATTGTATCTCACATCACGAAATGCTTTTCCAGGGGACTTCCCTAACAAATATAAACGACAAATCTGGCGACATTGACGGTCAAATAAAATTCGGATGGATCCAAGGAGTCTTAATTCGATGTCTGCTCAACATTTGGGGTGTTATGCTTTTTCTCCGATTGTCCTGGGTTGTAGCTCAAGCTGGAGTAGGTAAGTGTGTTCAGATTTAAATACTTTTTCTTTAATCCTTGAATCCAGGCCAAGCTATTCTTCTTATTCTAACAACGACTGTGGTGACGTCCATAACAGCTTTATCCATGTCGGCCATCAGCACCAATGGTGTCATCAAAGGAGGTTGGTTTCAAATTACCCTTTAGTTGACTTTTTTTTACTATTGTTCAAACAGGAGGGACGTACTACATGATTTCACGCAGTTTAGGCCCGGAATTCGGAGGTTCAATCGGTCTTATTTTCTCTTTGGCTAATGCAGTGGCTTGTGCCATGTACGTGGTTGGTTTTTGCGAATCTCTCAATTCGTTACTTACAACACACCATCTCTTCATCATTGATGGAAGTGTTCAAGATGTCCGAATTATCGGTACTCTTACTATTGTAGCACTGACGCTAGTCGTTGTGATTGGAATGGAGTGGGAGGCAAAAGTGATAAATAATATTCTTTGTAGTTGGCGTCTAACTGAAGAAATTGCTTTTAGGCACAAGTCGGCCTTCTTGTAATCCTCCTAGTGGCTATTTTAGATTTTTTCATTGGAAGTTTCATCGGGCCGACGAAACAAGAATCGATCGACAAAGGATTTGTTGGCTACAACTGTAACTCAAGGGTAACAGAAGACGTTCAAAAATCAAACTTGTTTTCTTTTAGTAACTGTTTTACGCGAGAATTTTTATCCGGATTATAGAACATCGCAAGGTGTGAATCATAATTTCTTTACAGTTTTTGCTGTTTTTTTCCCGGCGGCTACTGGGATTTTAGCTGGGGCCAACATTTCCGGTGACCTTAAGGTTGTTTTCAACTTCTTTCTTATTATTTTTTATTTGTTTTTTTGCAGGATCCTCAGAAGAGTATCCCCAAAGGGACTCTCCTTGCAATTGCTATCACCACGTTGTCTTATATTTTAATGGCATTTATTTGTGGATTTACGGTGGTTAGAGACGCAACCGGTCCTTTGGACATCACCAGTGTAACACTCAACTTGACAAATGAAACTCTAGCTAATGTTACAAGTATTAATGTAACAAGTGTTAATGTTACAATTCCTGCGACGGGACCTTTTCAATTCGGTCTACACAACGATTTTCAAGTGGTGGAGTTGGTAGCTTGGTTCGGTCCAATTATCTACGCTGGTTGTTTTGCTGCTACTTTATCTTCGGCACTCGCTTCGCTCGTTTCGGCACCTAAAGTATTTCAGGCTTTGTGCAAAGATAAACTCTATCCAGGGATCGAATGGTTTGCCAAAGGCTATGGGAAAAATAACGAACCGATGAGAGGATATGTTCTTACTTTTGTTATAGCAGTTGGATTTATTTTAATAGGAGAATTGAATGTGATTGCTCCGTTGATATCAAACTTCTTCTTAGCTGCTTACACTTTGATCAATTTCTCGACGTTTCATGCCTCTTTGGCCAAACCGGTCGGCTGGAGACCCACATTTAAGGTACGTAAACCATCATGGTACAAAATGAACCGTTCCAAGAAAGATCACTATTTTTTGGAGTTTACATAATAAAACTACAGAGTGGTTATAAATGATTCTCATCTAGCCAGCTTTGGATTTTTTTTGCATGTAACTTTATTTGTGCCGCTCTGCTTTTTTGAAAGCTCTAGTTCTGTCATTAGTGTCACTTATAAATTATTGTTAATTAAATTTTTATTGTTTCAACCAATTTCCAATAATAATTGATAATAATGTATACTTTGGAAGAAAACAAGTTTATAATTGAAGTCTATTTTTGAAGTGGACGCTTAGTAAACGGCGATTTTTTAATTTTGAGTTACAACAAGTAGGTAGTACCCCTATTTTCGTAAAGCGGCATTTTTTATTTTACATGGAAAATTCACAGCTGGTTAGATGAAAATCATTTATAACCACTCTGTAGCTTTATTGTACCAGGCGAAAGAAAGTGTATGAAACCAAAGATTTTTTGCTTAAACTATCTATTTTTTGAAAAAATCTAATTTATACTATAAAAGTGTGACGTTTATAAAGAATGAAATTTTTCGATTTTTTTTGTTTTTGTTCTGCAAATTTTTTATTTTTATTTTTTCAAATGGCAATCCACTAGAAAACCTTTTTTACAAAGGCTATGATTTTTACCTATGTTTTTTTAGATTTTTATCGAATTTTTTTTATATGTGACCATTTTGAAAAAAAAACCTTTTTTACATATTTTTCATTTACTCCGTATTCTATCGACCATAACTATAGCTTAAAAAAGGTAAATCTTTGGCCTTACACAAAGAAAATTCTTTCAGAGTTAATCAGAAATTTCAAGTTGTGTCAAATTATTATCAAAAAAATGTCACATTAAACGAAACAGACAACAAAGAAGCTAAAAAAAGAAATTTCCTTTATGTTCTTGAAGGAATAAAAATACTTCTCTCATTTAAAGTACGAGTAGGTAGTGAGTATTGATTAATATAACAATAATTTATGATGAAACTAAAATAAAATAAATAGGAAAGAGAAACTAAAACGTAGAAAAGCAGAAAAATTAAAAAGTTACAACAGTAAGATTTATGTAACAAGCAAAATTGAAAAATTATGAAACAGGAAGAAGCCAAACAATAATTTAAAAAAATGAGTAAAAAATAATTTGGGAAAACATTACATTTTAATGACAAAGAAGATTTAATGAGGTTTTCAAAGTTTATATACAAATTTTGAACTACATTTAAAAGAAGTAAGACAAAAATATTGTCAGGAAAAATTAAAAACTAAAGTTTAAGAAAAACAAAAATTAAAACGGAAAATAAGAAGAAAAAAAATGTTAAAGGAGAGCTAAAATGAAGCTTTAAAAAAGAATGAACAGAAATGAGAAAATCGTATATTGGAGGAAAGATGAACATGAACAGAAGTAGTTAAAAACGCCCACTTAAAAGCGCGCTGTTTGAATACTGGTTTATCATTGGTGCATTTTTTTGATAAAGTCACAAGAAACACTAAAAATACATGCGTCAATGAATAATTTTGAAAGAATTAACCCGAAAACGTGAAAAAAAAATTATATTTATTTTAAATTGAATTTATTTTCAAGTTTAACACAAAATTTCGCTGTGATTTAAAAAGTGCCACTTTATAAAATCTAAATCTGATTAACCTCAAATGTTACTTTATTTCAATTGACAGATGTCACTGTTGACAGAACTATCTGATTGAAAAAGAATAGAGCGGCACAGAAAAATTTACATGTAAAGAAATTCTATAGGCGACTAAATCAAAATCATTTTAAAACATGCTGTATTTCTGTTCGTGAAATGAAATAAGTATAGAGTTAACAAAAATATTGGAGAAAGGAAGAAATTAAGAAGAAATGCCAAAAGTCCAGAACGTCAAAGTATTTTGCGTTTAAGCGACAAAAAAGCTGCTTCGCATACTGAGAATTTAGCGAAAACGTCAACATTTCTTGATGACAGTTTTCGAAAAAATTGTTTTATTGTTAAAAAATTGAGAAAACAAAATATTTTTTTCATTTATTTTAATTTGGGTACGTACAAAAATTGATAAATTATGTAAAAATAAAAATTACAATTATTATATTGTCACAAACTGGAAGTTTTACTTTAATAGCAATTTCACTTAAACTTACATTTGCTTTAATTTACGTATGCAAAATAAATGAAAGAAATAGGCGTTTCTAATAGTTTTTACTAAATTTGATTAACTATAAAAATTATAATAATTAAAATAAATGCCTTAAAGTAAAAAATAAATTAAATAATTCAAAGAATTATTAAGAAAATATGTGTTCACATAAAGAGAATATAGAACACGACAAAATAAAATAATATTAAAGTTAATGTTAATTTAGTCAGAAAAACGTTGAGTTAAACTAAAAATGCCGGATCCCAAATTTACATTTGTAATTAATTAGTTAATGCAGAAAAATTGCAACCAGTTTTATTTCGTTTAAGAATAATTTAATGACTTTTTTTTAGTACTACAACATGTGGTTAAGCCTCGCCGGCGCCATCCTTTGCGTCCTGGTCATGTTCTTGATTTCATGGTGGACAGCTTTAATAACCTTCGCCGCAGTCCTCGCCCTTTATTTGATAGTTTCCGTCCGAAAACCCGACGTTAATTGGGGCTCGACCACTCAGGCCCAAATTTACAAAAACGCCCTTCAATCAGTCCAACAATTGAACGCCGTTGAAGAACACGTCAAAAATTACAGACCACAAATTTTAGTTTTATCAGGAATGCCAAGTGCACGACCTGCTTTAGTCGACTTTGCATATTTGATCACGAAAAATCAGTCTTTGCTAGTGTGTGGACACATCAACACTGTAAAATAAAAACACACTAATTCAATAAAAAAAATAATTACGGGTGATTTTCAGAGTCGGTTGCATCAAAGAGTGCGAGATATGCTTAATTCCAAAGCGAATGGTTGGTTAAGGGCCCACAAATTGAGGGCTTTCTACATGCAAGTCGATGGGCAAAACTTCGAAGAAGGTTGCACTTCCTTACTTAAGGCTTGCGGTATAGGAAAATTGCGGCCCAATATTCTCCTAATGGGGCACAAATCTGATTGGCAGAAGTGCTCCAAGGAGGATCTCGAACAGTATTTCGGTGTTTTGCACAAAGCGTTAGATTTGCATTTGAGTGTTGGTATTTTGCGACTGCAAGAAGGCTTCGATTTCAGTCATCAAGACCCGAAAATCAAGAACAGCACTGAGTCTTTACCAAGAAATCAGTCCTACAGTCACATGTCTCAAGCCAGTAGTAATAGTGATCTTTCGGTGCCTAACACTCCCGTTTCGAAGAACCGGGAAGTGGTTAATGTTTGTCCCAGTGCTGAGGACTCGGCGAAGAAGCCCAAGTCAGTGGGGGGCTCTTTGAGTGAGATCGTCGTGGACGACTACGTTGACAGGGAGAGGATAAGTCAGATGTTTTTGTTCCAGAAGAAACAGAAACGGGGGGTTATTGACGTGTGGTGGCTATATGACGATGGAGGTATTCCTATCACCTAAAGTCTGTTTTTTTTTAATGGAAATCACCATGTCAAAGTTTTGGTGAAAAAGCACTAATTGCGTTCTTTCTCATTAATGTTTATTTTGTATTCTCTTCAATTTCTTGCTAAAAATTAGAAAATGTTTAGTGGTATCGAAATTGTCCTTATTTTTGTGTTTTCGTCTTTAAATTATCTTAGACGATTTTTTTTGTTTTCAAATTAAATCAAAACTACCAACCAGTGTTGCTAGCTCAAAACAATTAAATCCACCAGATCTGAGCCGAAAAGTCACCAGATTTACACCTATTTTCATCAGATTACAAGATTATATTATTTAATTTTTTTAATACTTTTGAAGATTCACGTTTTTTTACATAAATCTCGCGCAAATCTGCTCAAAAACGTGCTTAAACGCTCGAAAAATTCAAAAATAGCTAACGCTATTTCATTTAATCTAATTCAATATTTTTTTTGGATAGTTTTTAATTAAATTTTGCGAAATACCGGGTGACAAAAAATCTATTGGCAACACTGAATTAGTGGTAATCCTTCTAAATATCAATGTTTCAGGTGGTGGTAAAATCAGCAATCGCCCGTCACAAATGAATGACAATTGCCTATAAAAGTTTGACGTTTGAATTTGAAAGTCAAGGTTGCCAAATTAAATTTTAAATTTCGACAAATCATTTACAGTCATCCGATCTTTACATTTTCACTTGAAAAACATGACTTAATTATAAAAAATAATGACTTACTTTGATGTTTTTTGGTTTGTTTTAGCAAAATCTTGCAATTAACACCATTTTCGACAATATTTTGTATTTTTGTCCAATTTTTTTTGACACACTTTCACTCAAAAAGAGCTAAATCGAATGAAATAAACGAAATAACATCAAGTAAGATTTATTTTTGTTATGTTTAAGCGTGTTTTGACAATATCCTGCAAAATAAATGAATCTCTGGTTCAAAAACGAACTAAACGAGCGAGATACGCTAAAATGATATCAATTTCAATCTAATTTGGTAATTTTTCAGTCAGTTTTAGCAAAAATTTGAATGTATTTTGAAAACGTGCTGAAACACTGTAAAAATGCAAAAATAACACTAGTTTTGGCCTAATATGATAAATTTTCGGTTTGTTTGTTTTTGCAAAATAGTTCTGTTTCTGTCTAAAAACATACTAAAACGCTCAGAAATGAACAAAATAATGTACTTTTTCACCCATTTTAGCGATTTTTTTGCTTTGAGTGAAATATCATTTAGAAAAACCAAACTATCTCTCGAATTTTCAATTTGTTGAGAAAATTTAGCATTTGAGTTTCTGCATGGCTAAAAAACGTGCAAAATGCTCAAAAAAAAATTAAAAATAGTGTCATCATTTTTGACTGAATTTACTATATCAATAATTAAAAAATCAAATTAAAAAAGTTAATTTGGGCGAATATTGGATTTAAAATATTTCAAAAACATTAACTTTCTTCTGGAACTAGTCAGGTTTCTAAAAAATCATCAGAATTTCTACAAAAGTTTTCACCAAATCATTAAACTAGTGTAAAAATCACCAGATCACCGGACCTGGCAACACTGTTACCAACTTCCTTTATTAATACTATGAATAAATTGACATTTCCATAAAAAAACAGACTTTATCACCATTTCTGATTTTATTTCCGATTTATTTTTTCAGGCTTGACTTTGCTGCTTCCGTACATCATAAGCACCAGAAGAAACTGGAGCACTTGCAAATTACGCGTTTTCGCACTAGCGAACAAGCGAGATGAACTCGAACTGGAACACAGAAACATGGCTAGTCTTTTGGCCAAGTTTCGAATTGATTATTCCGACTTACAGGTCGTTTCTGACATTACGAATAAGCCAACAGACATGACACTGCAATTCTTCGATCAATTGATCGCCGATTTCCGGAAACCGGAAAACGAAAATGATCCAAATTCGGTTCAAATAACAGATTCGGAATTAATGGCAGTCAAAGACAAGACTAATCGCCATTTGAGATTACGGGAGCTTCTTTACGAGCATTCGTTCAATTCGCAGATGATCGTGATGACTCTACCGATCCCGAGGAAGGGTATAGTGTCTGCTCCACTGTACTTGGCTTGGTTGGAAGCTCTGACTAGAGATATGCCTCCTATGCTTTTGGTTAGGGGGAATCAAACGTCCGTCCTCACTTTTTACTCTTAATTATTTTGTAGTAATTTTATTTGTAGTGAACAATCTCACTTGTATTGAAAATACTCAGCGAATGTTGGTTTTTATGATCAGGCTTAAGTTGTTTGGTGCAAGTAGAAGTTAGTGTAGTATTTTTGAATACTTTACAAATGTTTTGAGTATTGTATTATTTTTTAACTCTGATGATGATGATTTGAAAAGTATTAGTACATGATAGCTTCTTAAGTCTTATTTTATTTAATCATAATAAAATTGTCTTTTTATAAGTGTCATTTTTATTAAGGATGATTGAAACGGCAGATTGGAAGCGATTTTAACATTTTAATGGCAATCTTCAAGCAATGTGTTATCAAAGAGCATTTTTACTCACTTAGGGATGCATACAAAACTTTCCTCCCAATATACTAAATCAGAAATAACATAATTTATTCAGTTGCAATTTTAAAAGTAAAAATCACTTAATTAGTCAAAAAATGAGGGAATAAAGCTTCACTTTATTCTCTGTTGGGAGTATCATTAGTTCTCCCGATTATTAATCACCAATTGGTGATTAAAAAAAGCGTTGGTTTTTCGTTGATCCGACTTCAAAACTTAGAGAAAACACATTTTGTAAATTTGATGCTCAAATGAGTTTCTAATTTTTTTCGTTAACATTTTATTTATTATTGCATTAATAGGAATTATTAACAAAGCATCTCCTACTTAGTGTTTTATTTCATTAACTGTAGCTTATTAACAATTTAAAATTGTGCAATAAAATTAACTACTTATACTTATTGCTCTTTTCTGATTTTATTCTTTTTAATTGTCACAGGACCTATTTTAAGTTTTCGTTGTTTGTACATATGAGACATGAGGGTATACATCCCTGGTATCATCCCAATTAATAAATAGAGACGCAAAACCGTCGCAAATTTAAACGTAAATTCAAACGGAGTAGATATTGTTACCGACCAGGTGTTATCTTGCTCCATGAAAATCAAATTTCGGAAAATAATAACACCTTCACAAATAAATCCAATGGGGTAGAGAACTATCCATGCCGTATATCGCAGCCATGTTAGCAAACCGTTTTCTTTTTTTAACAATTGTGACATATAGTAGGGATATCTAAAAAAATATTTTGATGATTATAAAATCCACTTCGGTGGTTACACACCTTATTATTTCTATGGCTGACCATGTCATAAAGAGATAGAAGACCACCGGCATGGTTTGCAGCCGTGGTTCAAATTCTAGCATAAGAATTAAGACAAAAAACCTCCCCCCTACTTGAAGTGCTGGAACAAAAGCCCCACCCTTAACATAGCCAAACAAGGGATGCATAACTTCCAAAATTTGGATTAATTGTAGAAAGCACATGGCAGAGCCTGCAGCAGCGTATGTCCCCGGAAATGAGTCCGAGCCTTCTTTAATGTACCTAACTGATAATACACACACTACGTACATGAAACCAACGTACATAAATAAATTGTAAAGCGTCAAATATACTTTTTTGAAGTCCTCTGAAACATAATTATAAGCTAAATATTTGTGTTAATTTTTGATCAACCTTTTTTGTATCCAAATTCCTCCCTCTGTAACTTATCATACAAGCTTGGATAATCTTGCATAACGTCGGCGACCTCCTCCTCCATGTCTTCAGACTGGAAACGGTCATGGTCGATTTTCAACCAGATGGGTTTTTGGGTCTGTGACATCAACCTAGGCCACCATCCCTTCTCTGATTTGATTACAGTAAAGTCAACTCTATTGTCAGTGATTTTGTGCACACTTTTCTGGAATTTTCCCCTGTTATTGCAATGAAACAAAGTGAAGAGGTTTCACCTCAGAATCTATGTTTGAATAGAAATCAATTTCAAAGGCATAATCGTTGAGACCTCGTGCTCCAACCCCTTTAGACCAAAATTGCAATTTGCGTCGTTCCAGTGTTATGTTTGGGTCCTGAAAAATCAATAATGAGTTATAATTTATGGATTTTATGTTATATACTTACTTTTACATCCTTCAGGTCTACTTTTAGGAATACAGTTTTTTCGTTTTGGGCCCAAAAAACAAAAGGACTCAACACCGACATACTTATTGTTAATGAGACGTGATAACCACTATTTACATTACCAGTGTTTCATTTAAAACAAAAAACATGACTTTCACATAACCTATTTTTGTTGTTATTTATTTTGACATTTCACGCGCATGCGACTTGATTTATTTAATTAAGGCAGCATGATTTAAGTTTAATTTATTTAAGTTTTTATTAGTTTTCTGTTTTTTTATTCTTCAATTTTTTAATTTAAATTATGAAAAAAATTAAATCGCAATTTCGTTCCTGTTTTTATTTTTTATGTAATTGTTTTCATTCGTTTTAGTCGTTACTTTTTAGAAAACTTTATTAATTCATTATATTCAGACTGTTTTAGTTAAAATAGGCCTATTTCAGGCAACGAACAAAACCTCAGCATTATTTTTTGGGTTTAACAAAAATTAACATTTTTTTTTGACAAAAATATGTGACAAAACTTGTTAGCGTTAACAACTCTTTTTTTTAATTACATTTAATTCACTTTACAAACTTTATTAAGACTATTTTTACACTTTAAATAATATTTTAAAATAATATTATTAGTGTTTTTAGTTTGTTAGGTTGGTACGTGCTCTAAAAAAAAGAGTCGAAATTAATAATTGTCTATTTTCATATTTTCACATCACTCAGTTCGTGATAAAAATGTGAATATTAGTATCTTATTTCGTTCATGAAAATTTAAGTTGGAATGTGTTTCTAAAACATCAAAAAAATCTTTTTTTTATATCAAATATAGCAACCACTATCGTCCCACTGCCCCCCCTGGGGGCGCCCATTAGCGGCAGATGCAAGCCAGACATCAGCTGCACGGTGAGTCCGTTTCAATTTACTTTCATGATAAGTTCCAATTGTGCCAAAAATTAAAACTGTCTTTCGCGGAAATAAAAGGGCAGATAAAAATCTTGTGCGAAATCACATGTAGATGCACAGTCTGTTGTAGTTATGAGCGTTTTGGCTATGAAGCCACATGTTAGGACCCTCAGGCACTGCCTCTTTTTCATTGCTTACAGATAAAAAAGCCCTCAAATTGTACAAGAAACTGTCATCTGGGTTATCATTGTAACCACATCCACCTTGAATGGCACCAAAAATTTCCAGTGGATCCTGGTTAATCGACTTTGGACGCACAGAGCTGATATTTTTGAATGGAGATATAGTGGTCACCAGGAATATTTGAGATTGACGTATGCAAAGCTTTATTGAGGATTAAGCAGCCTTGCGGTGGACCGTAATCATTTTTCACTGCTGGTGGTACTACCCTGAAGATTTACAAAAGAGCCGTATTCAGGAATTTTCGTGGTAGGCTTTTAATTTATTACAGGCAAACATTTGGGAATTTATATATTAATTTAATATTAAAGTGATAATGCGGATTTGTAAAGAAACAATCTCAAAATATAGCTGAATATTAAAATTAATTTAATTTTTTTTTTATGAAAGCCCAAAAACAAATTTCTGTTACGGACCATCTTTTCCTACAAACCTTTGAAACGGGCCTGTCCTAAGAAATGCAAATTTGTTTGTGGCATCTCTACTGCAAGCCCCATGAACCACCGTGGGGGGTAATCGTCTTATTCTATAATGAGTCTCAAATATTGTTGGTACCAACTATAAGTCCACACTTTCTGAATGGCTTTCAGGGATAACAGCCAGCCCATTGTGATGGCGGTTTATTTTTCCTTATCATCTGAATCTATGTGCCAAATAACCGTTTTGATATTTTGCCTGCAACCCATGTTGGACAAGGAGAGATGAGCGAGAGTACACTCAGAGCCACAATTTTTTGTATTTGTAAGAAAATAGATTTGTAGTCAAATTTTTACAGTAATATTTATTTATTAACTACATAAATTCTAATGTTTTTGAACCTGTACTAACAATTTTTTGATCGGTCCAATGGCCTCGATATTTTCAGTTTTTTTTTGCCCTGGGAGTCTTCTTAATTTTCAGAAAATTTCCAATTCTCTAATTTTTATTATTAATTTTTTGATCAATCGTTGACTCTTTTGCAATAAAATCTTGCTCAATTTGTTTTACATGGTCACATATACTTTAACCTATTTTTCTGTCGAATACGCATTTGTAAGTGTCACAATGTTGAATTACGTCGGCTATTTTAAAAGAAACATTATTTTTTTTCCATCATATTGTTTCATTCCTGCCCAAAGTAATTCTATTGAGTATTATTTTATACATCACTTTTTAAATTAAATTTCCTTTTCACGTAACTATCTTTTCATCATATCTTTCGTCGCCGTAGAATTTGGAATTTGTATTTCTTGTTTGTTATGGTACGGCGCGTTATCTTTTACCAATACACTTTTTGGTGGTAGGTTTGCTAATTAATGGTTTTCCACCAATTTTTTTAAATTTTACAAAATTCTCTTCTTTGTGGTCACCAGAACTGGAATCCGACTTCTATCTTGCGTAAATCCATTTTCTTCTCTTGCATTTAATATAACACAGGCCCGCAAAAAAAGTGGTGTGTGCTGGGGGCCAGACTGTGATTTTCTGGCGTGTATTTTCCCGCTGAACACGAATCTGAAGTCAAAATTGAGGATCAATGAGCAAATAATCGAGAAAAATCACGATCTAATAATTTTTTCTTTATGATCATCACATTATTCTATTATCATTTTTTTCAAAATTTTTACGGGAGGGCTCCTCTCGATTTCGATGAAACGAAACTTTAGTACTTTTCGTCAAAAGATTTCTCCTTTTCAAACTCGAAGCCATTATTTCAGCAACCTTTTTGGACAGTTTAGCTTCTCTGAATAATCGTTCAAATGTTTTTCATCGTTTTGCTTCGGCTTTCGATCTTCACCAATAGGTCTGTATTCTGGACGAAGACTCTTTTTCATCAAATTCACCACACTCTTCGGGAATAAGGGTTCAATTTCAGGATCTACGTCGACTTCCATGGGGTCTAATCCATTATTCAGATTGTCTTGTGACGTATCATCTTCTAAACTTACTATAAAATTTGCAACTGGTTGGATTAGAAATTTTGTTCTTATGTATTCGGCTCACAGTCTCAAGCGGTTTTCTCCATATGGTTGGAGTTTTAAATTTTAGTGTCTTCTTAACCTGATGCTTTTCAAATCGGTTAATCATATTATAACACAAACAAAATTAGGTATCCAATTTTTGAGAGCAGCACTTTTCATACAAAGTCATGATTTGATCTGAGTGAGTCTCTTTGTATTTTTTGTTCCTATATATTTTGCACGAACATAGCAAAATACATTGGGATTTTCCGAACATTCGTGGTCATTACGAGTACTAGAACTTCCAGCGAAATTTTGAGTAGAAAAATCATTACAATCCATTAAAATAAACAAACCCCACACGCTAGATCGCTAGAATACCTGGCCCGCGGGTGAGTCAGCCGCCTTAGGGGTGATAACCCTCATACCTCCCCAGGCCTAAGTATGAGAGCTTTTCGACCCCCAATTTTGAGTTCAGATTCGTGTTCAGCGGAAAAAAAAGACGTCAGAAAATCATAGTTTTCACCACTTTTTTGTGGACCTGTGTTATTAGCCTTTTTGAAGTCGGTATATGAAGTCCTTCATTTGAATTATCACTCCAACCTTTTTTTATTAGTATGAGTAGAATGAATGTAAGTTCTCGTCGAAAACCTCATCGTAGAAATTACTGAAATCCTATTTTATGAACCTCTTTTCTGAGCGATTCTAGGCTTTTTTAATAATTAACATCTTCTCTGAATTTCTGGTGTACCTGACACAGGATAGGTTCCTGGTTGTTCAAACAGATATGTGTATGTAAACTAAACAGGTCAAATCCTAATGTTCCCCGAAGTGGATTTCTAACTTACCCGTTTATTTATAATATGAAAATTTACTATTGTCTTCCTTAAAACGGTAAGATCAAAATCGCCCAAGAAAATATTGGACTTTCGATTGGGCCGTTTTTTATTTGGGGTAGAAAACGTTGTTTCTTGATGCTTTCTTAAGCTTCCTATTCTTTCATTTAGTGAACAATACAAGGCGTCAGCAATATTTTAACCAACACGGTTTTCACGTAATTCATAACAACCCAAACATGCGCTTTTAATTTCAAATTTTGGAGTTACAAAATGTGCGGTAATTACAAGGAAAGATTGGCGAGTAGAAGATGTCCAACAATCTGTGAAATACCTAATTAGGGAAATAAAACAATGTAGTACCTTTGAGGTTCAACAGACAAATATTGCCGTACATTTGGTTCTTTTGCAGGAAATATTTTTGATTATTTCAGGATTTTGAGCAATTTCCTTAATTAAATTTACTAAGTGATCAGCAGTTTTTAAAAAAATTATACCTATTCAGCAATAAACTTGGTCTATTCTCATTTTAGCATCTTTTACTTTTTTTTAAAGATTGTGCTATGAGGAGGACGGCATATCTAAGAGCGATTGAGTTTGTTGTACAGCATTACACTTTGTTTTTTGATAAACTGTACTTTTTCACTGCAGAAATACCTCCAATATGGTCTTCATCACAAATTTTGCAATTGAAATTATAAACGCCTTTTTGACTAAGGCGAATTCAGGTCTTGAAATCTTTTTGAGACCCCAACTGCAATTGTACTACCTTGTGAATAAAACGTTTTTGACGTTTCCAAATTTGTTAACTTTGCAATTTTGGTCCATTGTTATTAAGCCTTATATTTTTTCTTCCTGACGATGAATAGTTTTGATTTTACTTCACACTATCAAAAATGGCAGCTGATTCAAACATTTGATTTCAATAATTTTTGGGTGTGTTTTAGTGGTTTTACTTTTTTGTCACTTTTTCTTTTGTATTGTTGTATCTATTTTCTGTATAACAATGGTCTTTCACTTATGTGACCCGTGTAGTTTATTATAGCACGAGTTTCGCTCTAGCGAAAAGGCCATTTCTGCAATTTCATTACAATGAAGACAAAATAATTTCACAACTTTTGGTCTACAGAAAAAGATGTTTTTCATCTTCGGAAATAACACAGTACCTTTGTAAATGAAATCAAATCTTGTAGTTGGGAAGAAGTTATTATAAATGACCGTTACAGTACTGTAAATTTACGCGAATATGGTTCCCTCTCTCTTCATTTTCGGCACCAAGGTAATATTTTCCAAAGCTGACACCACCGAAAATCGTAGACGAAAATTCTTTTGTCCTACGTTGTCTTGCCAAAAAAAAATACGAGTTGTATCTTATAGGACACACTGCGAAATAATGAAAGATATGCTTTTAATATACTGTGCGATCAAAAAAATAAATAAATTAGAGTAGGCGACGATTACTATTCTACAGTTGTCACGAAATTTTCCACACAAACAGGAAGTGAAAATGACCATTCTCCATTTTCGCTTTGTACAGAATTTTTGTAATATCTTACAATAAAAATTTTGTACTCTAAGATGAACATTATTTCACTCAAAACGAATAAAACGCAAACTTGTCAGAGTTTCCGCTGTCATTTGACGTCAAAAATCAGGATTGCCATCTGAAGGGCTTTAATCGCTGCCTACTCTAATTATTTTTTTTTTGATCGCACGGTATTTTGTATCTTATAAGATGCAATACATTAACCCATTAGCGCCGGGAAAAATTTTTGGTTAATTTTTTWATTTTTTTGTTCAAAGTTTGATTTATATAGTTTTAATAAAAAGCAATCTAATAAAAATATTTTTTTTTATTAAGAGGTATATACGCAAAGGGCTGTTCCCATATGGGACCACTAGGCGCCTGTACTATAGGTACTTAAAAAAATTATAAATACACTTCTACTTTGTGTGAAATTTACGAAAGCATTCTACGCAAAGTCCTACACCACATTTACAGCACATTGTTCTGCCTCTACTTGTGCAGCTCTGGCCAGCGCATCTTCTTCTTTTCTTCTTTTTTTTCCCGGGATGGGTACCACAAAGTGATTTAGACCGTCAAATCTGACGTCACCGCTAACGCGAAAATCGCTTCCTGRTGCGACAGGAACTCGTCCAGGAGCTTTTGGAGGGTTTTTAAAGTTGGTCAAATATGTCTAAAWTCAGAAGACTTTACATTTATTCAGCTGTAAGCAGATTACCTGTACCTGAACTATGTTTCTTCTAAATTCTAACTGGCTTATGTTGCGGCCACTCTTTCTATATAACSTCCACGCATTTTGGATCGCTGCGTCGACCATATATGTAAAGATAGACCAATACCATTTTTTGGACCTTATTCCGATGCGGTAACTACAACAATATTATTTAGAGTATATTTTTTATGTTTGGATAAAGTAATTTACCATGAAATGTTTCCATCCATCAAGTCTGTTCCACCCATATTTTTGTTGTATTGTGCAACTACGTCTGGACGACTCACTGCAACATTCTTTTTATCTTTACGAGAAAKCCTTTCAACATTTCGCACGGGTGCTACTCCGAAGCAAGTACTGGCCATTGTAACAACACTGTTATCCATCCAGCGAACATATATAATGCCGCAATTTCTTTCCAATGTAGAACAAAATGTGCCTCTTTCTTGCTTTGCCATTTGTTTCTTTGACTGAAGAGGACAATTTTGTGGAATTCTGTTGTCGCGTACAGTACCTGTAGCACTGTAACCATTGGCTTTCAATGTACACAWAAGGTTTGTTCCGGTAAATAAATTATCAAAGAAAAAGTTGTATGGAAGTTGTTTCTTATCCCGCAATTCTTCAATCATTTGTATAAGTGGTGCCGCTGCCTTCCCAAATAATTCTCCGTACTTTGTATTTGCCCTAGGATTATTTCCTTGATAAACTTCAAAATTGACTAGATATCCACTGGGTGTATTGGACACCAAACTTTATATCCAAACCTGACAGGTTTACCACGGATAAATTGTTTGCATCCGTGGCGACCAAAGTATCGATTCATGGACTCGTCGTATGATAGATTTTGTTCCGGCACAAAATGTTCTATAAATTTTTCTTWTAGTGTGTCGGTAATAAGCCGTATCTTATACATTTTGTCAGATGTATCAAGTGCATTATTGTCTGCAAAATGAATAAAACGACATATTTGAAGAAACCTATKCCGACGCATAGCCTCTGAAACAAATTCGTTTTTCATGTCTTTTGCATTTTCCCAGTAGCTTCTTTTTGAAGGTAGAACATTGTAACCACTAAGTATCATAATTCCTAGAAAAACTTTTATCTCAGAAAGTGACAAATTTAAATCCTGACTATTTTGCAATAAGGCATATGCTCTTGTTTGCTCTAATATTTTTTCCAATAATTCATTAGAAAAAAAAAGTTCAAAAATTTCAACACAACTTAGTGAGTTGTATTGAGTGTACTGACATACTGGAAAAGTACGAAACTGAGGGCATAAGTCTCCTGATATAAAATCTAGATTTGCTGGCCTAGTTGACATTTTTATTTCGGAAACTTGAAGTACATCATCACTCGTACTAGGTAAATTTTCATCAATAACGCTAGTACTTGGTTTAGGTTTATCTACTGCAGTTGTAGTAAATTGAGGCTCATGCTCGTCTAAAAGCATGTCTTCTGCTGTGCCCCCAATTCTTGAATTATTTCCTAATACAATTTCTGCACCAGCAGAAAGTTGTCTGCGACTGAGGTTATCAACTAATCCACCTTCGTCTTCATCCGCCGAGTCCTCATCAGTCATAATATGGCATTCAGGAGGTTCAATGTAAATTTCAGAAATGTCATTTTCTGATTGGGAATCATCATAAGCAATGTCGAGTGCCTCTTTGAGCGTAATCCCACTAAAAATTATGTAATAAACTTTTTGCGTAGTAAGAACAAATATGACATGAAACCGCCTAGCGGTCCCATTTGGGAACGCATAGWTTTATGTCAAAAGGCTTATAAAGCTAACACTAGATTTATAAATATAAAATACCCAAAAAGAAGTTGCATGTATATAAGATGTATAAAAATTATTATGGTAGTTTTAAAGTAAATAATAAAAAAAAATTTCAACTTACACGAATCGAATGTCCYTAATTTTCTTCTTACAAAACAACACTAATTTTCAAACAACCGTCGAGGGTAAGTGTTCACTCACAATAACGTAAATAACACACACACGCATTTTTCAAGAGCAATGCTAAAAATAGAACTAAGGGTGTGATAAAAAAAGCAAACCAAACAGCCGCAAAAAATCTTAAGTGGACCTACGTTTAGTGGATCCATATGGTACCTCTAGGCGCTAATGGGTTAAAGAAAACTTATACATTTTGAATGAATGTGTATATTTACCAAAAGAAAAATAAACAATATGCTATATAAAACATAGTAAAAGCAAATTGAACCTAATTATTATGAATGGTGTGGAAGCAGTTACGGTTTTTCACCAAACAGTCTTGCATTGTATTTTGTACAAAGCTAGTGGGTTTCTCCGCTCTTGCACAACCGACATCTACCTTTCGTAGAATATATCGGGAAATGGTTCACTTTATCGGTACATACATCCTTTTTTTTTTGTTTTTTTTTAATTCTCTTACCTCTGTCTTTCACGTGTTTCCACGCTTTTCGAGGTCACTTATATTCTCATCTTTCCACTGTTTATGTTAAAAGCCCATAATTTATTTTAACGCGCTCGATGGATTATTTGCATGTTTATTTTAATCTAATTAATTTGCTAATGGATACCGTATAAATTTAAGATTGAATGTTCTAGAATTCAAGACAATGACCTAACTTGGCCTCTTAACTTCTTTATAGTACAATATCGAATAAGATTCTGCGTCCTCACAAAAGTGAAATGGACTTTTTAGCCCGTCACAGAATTGGAAAAAATAAATCAAAACTTACAGTTCATGACTATTCAGTTGAACAATCGAACTGCTTTGGGCTGAAAGTTTTTACAAAAGTTAAAAAGGGTTTTTTAGCCCTTCACAACCATTCCCTTCTTTACTGAAAAACATGGGTTTATAATAACCTATGGCTTTTCTAAACAGAAAACCTATAAACTAACTTAACTGTTTCACCTGGACATTCCTACTTGAACTCTGAGTTAATATAATATCAACATTTCATCTAATTGGTTCAAGGAGCAAAATTCAGGGATCCGGTGTTTCACAAAGAAAAACGCAAGGTTTTAGACAATAAACATAGTAACCTTGCGTCCATTATAGTTTCTCTGGAATTCTGGGTGGCTTGGTCAATTCTGGATTCGACGTATGACGATATGGTCTTTTATGTTTTATTTTTTGTCTCGGCAGAGACCGGGGTTGTGTAGAGCTTGGTAGGGTCACCTGTAGGAATTACCCTTACCACAGGTGGGAGGCTGTCATGACCAGGTCGGTCAAGCAGGGGGCGACATCCTCATGCAAAATGATGACGGTGGGGAGGAGCCTCAAAAATAATTACGTTTTTTCCTTAAAAGAACACATTGGTAGTAAATAATATAAATAAATTATTTACGCCTTTTTTTTGCTTTGTTACCTAGGTTTTTACCCATTTTAGACCTAGGTTTTATTTTGTAGGTATATCTATTATTACAGTCTTACAGTAATAAGATTTAAATTATGTATTTAGTAAAGTAGTATGTAATCTTATTTTTGTTGTAATGTACTTACATGGGGTAAACAATATTAAAACGAAGAAATTTTGTAAATAAAAATACATATTTATACAATAATGATACAAAAATTGTTTGCATGTTTCTTTTAATATAATAAATATATAATATATAATTAATTTAATAATTTGTTAATGAATACCGTATTATTACCGTTTCATTATTAAGATTGAATGTTCTAGAATTCAAGGCAATGACCCTAACTTGGTCTCTTAACTTCTTTTGTAGTAATATAATATATAGTAACTGAATAAGACTGACTCTGAGTCTTCACAAAAGTAAAAAGGACTTTTTAGCCCGTCACAGAATTGGGAAAAATAAATTAAAACGTACATTTCATGACTATTCATTGAACAATCGAACTGCTTTGGGCTGAAAATCTTTACAAAAATTAAATAGGGTTTTTTAGCCCTTCACATCCATTCCCTTCTTTACTGAAAAACATGGTTTTTAATAACCCATGGCTTTTCTAAACAAAAAAACTATAAACTTTTTGACTTGTTTGAATTTCATCTAATTTTCGCTTATATTCATCTTCTTTTTTCAACAGGTTGTTGATGACTTTCTGCGCACAAACTCGAGTCTTGCAAATAACGTTTATACGATTTTTAAAACTTCGCTGCAACCTCAACCGTGTATGGGTATGCAGCTGCAGTTTTTTTAATCATTTGCTCAAGTTTCTCATATTCAGATAATGAAGCCTCTTCTTCTACTTCTCGTATGAGCGAAAGGTTTTTCACTGCAGCCCTTCTTGTTGGATGTTTAATAATAACATTTGAAATAATGTTAACTTCCTTGGATGAGCGTTGAGTCCCAACCTTTTCTTTATTGTTTGCTTAACCCAACCCCATTAATTTATTTTTATATGCTATATATTTGTCTATTTTTTTTATTTTAGTTTCAATTAATAAATTTTGTTTGACAACATTTTTGAATTTATTACAGATTTGGTTTTTTAAATCTGTTGCCATTCTGTCTACCTCCGTATCCATCTTCATCGTCTCATCCTCATCAATCAGTGAAAACGTTGATGAGGGAGATGGCGACAGGGCACGGCACGTCGAAGAGGACCTTTTATATAACTGTTTTCCTTTCCCCTTTGCTCGCCCTTTACCCCTGTTCGATGGTGGTTGGGTGGTAAAGGCATCAGACGAGTCCTCTTCTAAATGCATCTTAAACTGCTTTTCGATGTCGTTAAAATCAATCTGAAAGTAAATAAATTTATTATGAGTAAAAAAGACATCAATAATAATAATAATAGGTAATATTAAAGTAAAAAAATAAATACATACGTCACTTATTAATTGCGGATCTATGGTGATAGAACTCGCCAGGCTTCTTTCATCATGCACCTCAACGACCGGATCAGCAGGCTGTTATTATAATTTATTAATATTTTTATAAAAAATAATTAAGTTACATACCTTAATCACGTTTGTAGAGAGAATGTTAATTTTTCTCGATGAAAGATTGGGACTGGCATATTTTTTCACGTGTAGATTCAAGATAACTTATTCCTCTGACTGTTCAATAAACTTGATATTGGTTGTTCTTACAACTATACCTTCACTAACCATGTAAATGTTTTTTCCTTGTTTCAATATATTGTTTAAAGTTTGAATAACTGTTTCACTAAATTTTTCAGTGAAGCGTTACGAGAGAGGTGTTTTAAATTCACCACAATCCACGACTACTGGTTTTCTAAATGTAGTCTTCGTTTTAATAAAACTTTTAATTGAAAACCTGGTATCAATTTGTAAATAACTATAGATTGTTGAGTGCTGATAAGAGACGGAGAAGATTGATAAATAGCTTCAAAAAGCTTACGCATACACACGGTAATTTTGGAATTTCTGAAGGCTCTCTCTCGAATTTCAAGTACAAAAAACAAAAAATCTGCTTTTATGTTTTATTTCTTTCTCGGCAGAGACCGGGGTTGTGTAAACCCGTCACACCAAACTTTTATTTCAAACACAACGCGTTTCAACCACAAAGTGGTCATCCTCAGGTTAGAATAAAATAAAATATATTCATATTATTGTGGGAAGAGTAAATAAATATCTTTGACAAGCGAGCTGAAAACATCATTTTCTTTTTCAATAAAATTTTTGTTTCACCACTGGTGTTCACGTCACTATCGCGGTGAGGGTGGTAAATTCACGTTAGAATTTTCAATCTGATGTTATCAAAAAGGATAATGTTATATAGCCCAACTCTTTATTCTCGACTGGCTTATTTTTTAACAATGTTATGCAAGACAAGCGATCGGACTTATGCGTGTTAAGTTCCCGTGAGTCATCAGGTTCGTCCTGACCATGAGACGATAGTGATGTAACAGTAGACTCAGGGGTGAGAATGCTAACATATATAATAACCGCAATAATCCTCGTAAGCGAGGTATTTAGAATATTGATTAAATTGATTAACTGAGGAAAAAGTTGAAAAGATTTGGAGGTCGTAAAGGTAAAATAATTTGAAAAAAAAAAATTGTGGAGAAGTTGTTGTTAACATTTGGGAAAACATAAGAAGTATTTTTTACGAAAAAGTAGAATTTGTCAGGAACGGGCAATGTTAAATTTTGTATTTGCTCTATAAATGATCTGGATAATAGAGCCGAAAAATTGTGAATTTAACAATTTTAAAGCAGAACATATTGAAAATTTTTAGGACTAATTTAATTTAAAATTTCAAAAATTAAGGTTCTAAAGAAAACAATGAAACCAAGATACAATAAAGAAAGAGAAAGACGAAAAAATTTTTAATGACAAAAATAATATATTTAACAATGGTTGAAGTAAGAAATAAAAAGTTTAGAGGCTGAAAAATTGACATATTTAAGAGGTATCCAGAACATGATCTTTAGAAACAAATTTACGGTTTTTGAAGACTTTCGCAGACATAAGCAAAGCAAAAAGCTCACATGTTCTGTGAGCATAAGCAAAGGGGTGTTGTTCAACAGAAGTAGAAGAAAATTTTAAATTTAAATTTGGTAAAAAATGAATAAGAATGGATCGATCTCGCTCGGTCAAACGCTGAGCTATCATGACAGTTGGAGAAAAAGATTTTTTTATCGGAACGATCGTAACGCATCTTAGACATAGCAGATTACAAAAATTGGTTACGAGTATATCAAAATATGTTACCATTTTTAGAATGCAGTGCTGCTTTACTCTGTATCCCTTCAAGTCTTTGCTTGTATTTCTTCATTCCGGTGCTACTTCCATCAGCACTTTCCTGTTTGGGGGTGACGAACTTCGGACATTCAGCATCAAGCGGCTCAAGGTAACTGTTAATGTTTCAGCTTTCCTCGCCACTCTTGTCTCATGGTGAGTGAATAACATCTTTTGGTCTATATCAACACCTAAGTATTTGACTTTTTCTGTGGTTTCAGAGTGGTTTCCTCTACCCTAAAGGATAGGTTTTTCTGTGGACATCTCCCGCCAGCTAGCATAACGACCTCTGTTTTTTCAGGAGCCAACCTTTTGTTTTCATGCATTGTTCAATGAGGTCCGGCTCGGGACTACCCACTAAAAACCCCTCCTCAGCAACACGTGGAGCTCATCTCTGCCCCAGTATCGCCCTTGCAGGCATTCTACCTTACAATGAAATTCTCCATTTTTATGGCTCGTCCTTGAAATATGTTTGCTTGATTTGCTCTCAGTTTTACGGGCAGCCACCAGCGCGTCAGTCAATTTCAGGAGAGTAATGTGCAAGTCAACTAAAATGCGTTTAATTATTATACTAATGTATTTGGAATAAAAGATAAATAAAGGTTAAATGATCAAGATAATTAAAATTCTTAAATATGGAGTATTCCGAAAAACTAAACATTTCTTGTTACCTATTTTTAGAGCTTTATCAAAAGTCATTATTCAAAACTGAAACCATTTTTCTAAACACAGAGTGATCAACTCAACACTAACACTTTAATAGACATTATTACATTTTAAACGAGAATTTGCAATAACAACATTTGTTATTACGGCACATTGATAAATAAAAAGAAATCTTCAGATAATGATTTTATAAAAAGACTATGGACTTTAACGTAATTATGAAAACAAGCAAAATGTAATTTCTATTCGATTTCTGTAGCGGGCTTATTGTATACATATTATGATAACTTTGATCTTCATCTGTAAACTTAACAACTCTAAATAAGAAATAAATGAAAGAAAACCTTGAACCTAACTGGGGTTCGTGAATTGGAACCAGAGACCAAATCTCTGTCGTCATTGCTTTGACTCGGGAACCCATCCATCTGTTAACACGCTTAAGTTTAGCAAAATCATTATTTAAATATATAGGCTTTTTTGATAACGGCCATGGTTAACATTTTGTTCGAAATTCCACAACAAAATTTTATTATGGTACGGCATAGTAAATTGGAGCAGCGTTAACAGTCAAAGTAAAAATAAATCAAGACTTACAGCTCATGACTAGGCAATTGAACAATCGAACTGCTTTGGGTTGACAGCTCTGGCCTCAGATGGTGGCACAGTGTGTCTTGGTAGCTTCTTCAATTGACCCAACTGGACTGATTCGACTTGTCGACTGATTAATTAGCGATATTAGCGAAAAGGGTCAAAATATTTATATTTACGCAAATATATATACAAACATGAAATTACCTTCGCAGACGAAGCAAGCGATGAACGATTTCGATCGATCCAAAGAGAGCTCTCAACCATATGCAACCAAGAATAATGCTTCGCAGCAGGAAGGAAAAATGTGTTATAGGCGTGTTATATAACTGTTTTAAGTGGAAACAACGTCGAAACGACGTTAATGTTAAGAATGAACAGGGAGCGAGTATTTAAACGTCGATGAGGCCGTATTATCCAGAGCCAATGGGGCGATCCTAAACAGGAACTAAGCGCCTCAGCCCCGCGTTTGCAAATCAATTTATATCCTAAATTAAACAAAGTATTTTAAATATGGAAGGGGTTGATGCTAAAGCGCTGACTGATACGAAATCTGATGTTTCGCTGATAAAATACTCAAATCTAAATTTAGGTCAGCGAGAGCTTGTATGTATCTTAGTTTTTGAAAACACACATCATCCACTTAAACTATAATTACCGTTGGTGTTTTGTTGGTTGTTTGTTTATTTCTCTTAATGTAGGTTACGAAAATATTGTTTAATAAAATAATTATCCCGGCGCATCCACCATTTTCATCACTTATTTTGAATAATATTCAATATTTTGCCGGTGTTGCGATTGAAACTAAAAAATTGTAATTATTTAATACATGATGTAATATTTTTTGCTAAAAATGTAAGAATTCTTGTTTTTTCCTGTAAGACATTTCTCCAAAACATAGCCGGAAGGCCTAGCTCAAATAAATTTTAATCGCTCTGATAGCGGGTACCCGCTGTCTCTATAAAATTTAAACCAAATGCAACAAAAATTTGAATAAAAAATACACCACGATTTCGCACTGAAGCTGTTGAAAGTAATGTTGGTTGTATAAGTTCTGAGTCAATATCGAATTGAAACGAGAAAACAAAGAAAATAGCTTTTTGCTTACTCTTTAATATGCCCCTCGTCGATCCAAATATAAAAAATGTATTTAAGAAACTAGAGCGTTAAATATGCAGTTTTTTCTGGACTTTCTTATATAAAATCGATCGTTTCAGGGTAAAGCCTAATGGCCTCACTACCTACTGTACAGAGTGTCCGGAAAAAACGTTGCAAGATTTTTGGGGGTGATTCCCTAGGTCAAAATAAGAAAAAAACTTCTTGTGGGCCTATGTCCAGAAATGCTTCTTCTTAAGAGAGTTAGAGCGATAATTCAACTTTATATGAAAAAACTCACTACGTAGGTTGCTTTTCGGAGTTAAAGTTTGTGTACGGTTTAAGAAAACCTCATTTTTCTCGAGAATTCTAAGTATAAAGTTCTGAAAATGGACCTGAGACGGCACTAAAGGGATCTGTTTGAATTTATTTATTGGCAGCTGGAAATGGTGATCTGTGACTAAACCACCATTATTGTAGAATATTTACTTATACATTATTTGTTGTAAGGTCAATTGCAGATAAATAAATGTTCGAGCGGTTATAAAGGCTATAACGACCGAGGTATTTGTTTGAGTTGTTAATCCCACTGCGGTTGTTATAGTCCTTAACAGCACGTGGCGCGTACAACGTCTTTCGTCGTACCATATTGACATATTTAAAAAAATAAATACGAGTACTGAAAAATTAAAATCCTGAAAATGTCAAAACCGTCACAGATCGGATTGAAACCTCTCAACAGCCCTGTGTGTAACTAGGGTGTTATTGACAGCTGAACGATTAAATTTTTGAATAGCATTTATACCATAACAACATAGAACGACGAAAAAATTAGTGAAAGTAAATTTAGGATTAAGTCGTAAAAACGGAGTATCTTTAGATAGACTTTAGGCAAATTTAAAAGTTATTGAAGTACGAATAACTTACTACTAATTTCAAATTTATCCTAGTTATTATCACAAACCATTAGGTACAAACGTTATATGTGACATCAATGTTAGTTTATTGAAAAAAAAATGTTCCTCATTTTTTTAATTGCCGTTTTTTAGGCACTCACTTCCATTATAAGTAATTTGTCGATAAAACAAAACCTTGTATTTTTTATACAACGCAGAGGTTTTTGGCATTTATAAAATACTTATTTTGAAAAACAAATACAAAATTCTTTATTGCTGCATTTACAAAAAAAATTCAAATTAACTTTGATTTTTAAAGTTTTTGAATTATTTGCGAATAAGTTACAGTCTGTGGCACTTTTGTCTTTAAAAAGGTTTTATGTTACTTGGAAGAATTATTTTTCTGACAAATGGTGATAGTACGAATTTTTTTGAATCAAGCAAAGATTCAAACTTTATTTCTCAGAGTTGATTTGGACCTCGATATTTATTTGATAAAAAATTGAAAAAAAACAATTTTGGTTTCTGAAAAACTAATTGATACAAAAAGGTGATCGTTTTTCAAAAATAAAAGTTGTGCTTTTTTATGAATTTAGCTAAATATATTGATTATTTTAAATAATACAATTTCACCAACTATAATTCAAGAAAAACAAAAACCAACTATTCTTTGTAGTACTTTATTTTTTTTTGCACACTGTATATCATATTATTATGATCTACAAATATTGAAAACAAAATAAACTCGAATCTATTTTTTTTATTAATACTAAAGACGTTAGAAGAAGAAAGTATTGAAAAGTTGGATACGGTTCTTGAATAAAATCTCTAAAATATTCAAAAATAATATTAGTATTAGTAATGGACAATAAATATTATAATATTTAAGAAAATTATTAAACATTGCAAAAAAATCCTGTAATAGAGTACTAATTGATATTTGACCATAATAGGGGTAATTCTGTAAAATTGTTGCATTTCTTTTTTATATAATAATTCAATTTTACACTAATTTCAGTTTACATAAGATTTCCTGTTCTACCACAATTTCTTTGTAAATAATGCAATAATTGAATTATAACAGTACATTATTAACGTACACGAATGCAACAAAATTGAGTAGGTATTTCAAAATCTGTTTTTTTGCAAATCCCAGTCAACAAGTCTCGAATTTTCGATCTTGTTTACTTCTTGTGCAAATAGGTGGGGTGTCCCATGGACAAATAATTGTTAAATACTCAAAGAGAGAGAAAGTTGGCGGGACTAAACCTCCGCGAGCACATGGCAATGTGCATTCAACGTCATATTCTTGAACTTGTCCGAAGCGCGCGTTCATAACACCACAAAATGAAGAAAACAATCTTCCTATTTCTTCTCGCATATGCAACTGCAACAAAACTCCTCGAAACTAAAGAAATGGAGTACAAAGAAGGCACCAAAGTGGACCCAAGATACTCCCTGCCTCAAGTGAATCTAAGTGTGAGTGATGGTAATCAAACTGTGGTGCCGGCGAGTTTGGCCAGAGTTTTGAACTTCTACAACACCGAAATTTTGGCCGCGAATTGGGAAACGACGAAGAATTTCGTCTCGTTGAGTTGCAGGAAGGATGTGGAGCTTTATCTGGAAGGACTGAGGAAAACGGAGAACTGGGCATTGAAAAGTAAGTTTGTTGCTCGCACATACGGAAATGAACTGTTTGAAGAAGAAATTATGATTTATCGCGTAATTGACTTTCTCTGACACTTCAACAGGAAACTATTAATCCTTAATAGAATTATGCGAAGAGTCAAAATTGTTTAATTTGTTAACAAACTTTTCATGTCTAGACTGTTTTTTAACATAGAGGAATTTATTTCACAAAGTGCAGTATTGTACTTACATGCAATTTTATTTTGGCCGCTAGGGTAGTTTTTTGATGTAATTTGTTCATTATTATTTTTTATATTCAGTTTGGTAAAAATAAATTATCGGAATTTTGTGCCAATACTTTTTTTGTTATGGTGCAATATATTTAGCAAATTGCGGTATTTTTCATAGAATTCAATAACAGCATGCGAATTGAGTAAAATGACCTAATGCATGAACTACTTGTGAAAGGTAAAGGGAATGACATTGAATTGTGGTGATAAATGTAACCTTCTCATTTCTAGAGCTTACATAAAGCCTAATAATTAAAACTGACATTAGTTTGTGTTAACTTAGAGGACTAATTTTCAATTTAATTGTAATAGCGGAAAGTAAAAAGATTTATTTTAGGTTTGCTTCTGATTCTGAAAGTGATACTGCGTTGTATTTTTCAGAATCTTCAAGAAATTGATAAATCTGTTAAATATGAAGAAGGAAAAACGACTATTTCTGATTGACTAAAAAAATGATGATTACACTGTTTAATATTTTTTCCAATTTTGTAAAATTATTTCTTTACCATAACTTAGAATTCAACCTCGAAAAGGAACAAACTAACCAGCATTTATTATAGTTATTGTTTTTTACCCTTTTGAAGCTGTTGCAATTATTATAAAAAATCAATTTATTTTAATATTTTTTATGACAACCATAGTATAAAAAAAATTGACAAAAATTGAATTCTTTTAGACAGTTACAATCCATTGGCAAACACTTTTATAGTAGTTTACCACTGATTTAAAAAAATAATAATTTTTACAACTTGGACCAAAAAAAAAATTAAATTTCGTTTACGAAAAACGACCACATTTTTATATGTAGTACTTTACCAATTATTATCAATTACTTTTTAAAAAACTAAATGGTTCAGTTTTATACTTTTTGTTTAAAATGTAATATGTCATTTAATAATTTAAAATGTCATTTTTTGGTGGAGAGGGAATTTCGAGTTTTATTTTTATTTACCACACATACTACTAGAAAAATGTTTGTGTCCGTTTTCTTTTATACAATGGCGTAAAATTATAAAATTATTTTCGTGCTATTTTACATTTTAAAATGTTATCAGAAACCAAAAAACGCATTAGAAAAATATTTGTAATTTATTTAACCATCAAATACTAGATAAATTAAAAGTTTGGAATCAAACGTTTTTTCCTTAAACTAATTGGTGAATGATAAAGTACTATAAAAATGTGACGTTTTATCAAGTATTCAATTTTCCGAAATTTTTGAGTTCTGCAAAATTTTTATCGATTTTTTTACGTTTCATATAAGTTGCCATTTTGATGAAATTTCCATCTCAAAACATGATCACATTGTTTAGAATCTTAATTTTTATTAATTATTATTATCTGAAGGCAAATGATAAAAAAATAAGTCCATACTTCTCTTCCATACTTTTTATTCACTCTGTACATGTAATAATTTTCTGTAAGAATTTCCACTCTTATCACAGAAAAAAAAAGTTACATGCTGTGAGTTTTACAACTTATGCGAAAAATTGAAAACCATATACCATAATATTGCTTAATTAACAATTTTACCTTTGTTTGTTTTCTATTAAATTCTTTTTAAAACATTTGCTTTTTTAGAAAAATGTTGTATCAACTCGTGTTAAAGCTCAGGAATATGGGATAAATTAATTGTAAATTGAAACGGTAAATTAAAAATTTTTAGGACAAATTGGAACTATTTCTGTTTCTATTATTAAGGTTAACGAATATTCCAATTTGCTTTTTACTTCCAATTTTTACGGCAATAAAATTGCACAAATGATTAACTTTTTAAGGGTAAAAATGTAACTTGAAATAGATAAAGCCATTTTAATAGATAATATTTGTTTGCAGTTTTGAAATAGTTGTTATTAAAAAATCAGTAAACATATTTGATTACAATTAATAGTGTAAAAACTTCACATTTGTCTATTAAATAGTGTCAATTTATTACAAAGCAGTAAACAATGACTATGTTTTAAAAAGTTTATTAAACAAGTCTGACTCAATATGTTCCAAAGTGCAATTATAGTGGTTTTCGGAATCATCTTGGATCTGTTAATTTAAAAATATGCTTTTTCTTACAATAAAAAACTAAATTTCAACGTTTTTTGTCTCATTTTTTTCAAATACCAAATAATTTAGACCATTCAAATTTTCGAAAATTTAACTTTGATAGATCAAATTTTTAAGATAATGAAACAAGTGACCTGTTTTCAACACTCATCAACGATAATTTTCATTTAATAACTGGTCTAAAATACTCTCCTGACATTATTAACCTTGACTTTGTGAAATATTCAAGATCGGAGATGTTATTTAGTCACAGTTTTAATAACTATTATTTTTACGTCTACTTTCTTATTATTCACTAGTCACGTTATGTTCCATGTTTATCACTCACTTTCCTTCAAATTTCCCTAGTCAAGTATTGTAAACTGTTGTTAACACATCCTACATCTTCATTCATGAGTCACGAATAATCACGGGCCAATTACCCGAAAACGAAAGTATTTATTTACTAAAGTCATTGTTTATAATTTCGTAATATTGTGTGAAATTGAATTTCTTATAAAATCCATTTCACTTAAAAGAACATCCAAGGAAATGCTTTCTTATCCTATTTGTTTTGCAATAAACATTTATGAATGACTGATAATCATTCTGGACTTTTATATAACTTAGTTATATGATAACAAAAGCAATTAATGATGAGTAAAGAAAGTGGAACAGGAATACTTTACAATCTGTTATTATTAAAAAATGCACGAAACGTTTGATTTTTCACTACAACGACACACACTTTCATTATCATTAAAGCAATTATTATTACATGAAGTTGTAGATAGTTTACAAGTAGTTCCGGTCTTCACTTCAGTGAGATATTACTTAATATTTTTACAATAGTTTTTATCAACACATTAATAACACTTTCACTTGAAGTTTGTTAAAAATGAAACTGTCGAAGTGGTACTTTCTTCTATGCTGATTGACACTAATAAATTTGCGCTTTTGTTAACTCTTATTAACACTTTGAAGTTTAAACCAGGGATATTTTCTGATTTTTTTGAAATTAAAATTATTAAGATAAAATGACCTATAAGTGTCACACCACTTGTTCAAAACGGTATACAGGGTTACATAGACAGTTCTTCAAAGATACAAGTTTGAAAATAATTTTTTATTACTTTTGGTTCAGACTAAAAGTACTTGCTAACCTTAAATATGTGTTTTTTGTGCTTATAATTTAACACCTTCTTCAAATATAAGTTGTATTTATTTAAAGTAAGAGAGCGTTTAGAATTAATTTAATATTTATCGTGCACATACGCACGTAATTACTTTCTTTTTAATTATACTTATTAAATGTAAATTGATTCAAGTACTAGTAAATATCTTCTTTAGGTTGAAACATTTTTAAAAAATGTTTTTTTATCTGCTCTGGTTTTTAGATCACTTTTTTCTTTACTTTTATTTGACACTTTCTCTTGAGCTTAAAATGTTCTAAAATTACGGTTTTAATAATTGATGCAAAAACTGTTTTAAACAAATTTTTTTCCAGTATTGTGGTAAAACATTTTATAGTTGAAACAAGTTTTATACAATACAAAAGTTGAAGTAAGTATTTTCTGTTTTTTATCTGTCGATGTAAATTTTTAGAAATTCTTGTATGCATGCACTAGTAAGTGAAAACGTTTAATTGTTAAAAGTACCTACAGTTCCCAAAATTTCGCAAAACTAACGCTAGGTACACATCTCCACAAGTTGAATTTTTCATCTAAAAAAATTACTATGTAATTCTTTTATGATTTTTTAGTGTTTAACATTTTTTTTTATTATTCTTTTTCAAAAGTGTTCAGCCAGTACATTAAGTACTGTGTGGATGACAAAAAAAAAATAGTATGTAATTATAGTATTGATTATTCTTCATTTTGACACTGTTAATCTATTTGCATCAGTCTGTATTTTAAATGCCAAAAAATTATTTTATAAATATTAATATATCGGTCTAAGCAAGTTGAATTAAACTTTTCATCCATTCATACCATTGTTTCCTGTCATAATTTCGGTAAAAATTTCATTTTTTTCTCATTTATCATTATGAATCTTTTACAAATTTTTGCGCTTGTTGGACAGAAAGACTTTACACTAGAAAAGTTTAAATAACTTTTTTGTTTTATTTCTTTTAGTTTGAATGTTGTACATTGTTTAGGTCAAAACTTGGAAGTTTCAAACTGAATTTTTGTGTCATTTAGCTATTTCTACATCTCCAAAAAATAAAATTAAAACGTATTTACTAGTATTTGAAATGTTCGTGTGTAGGACATATTTTCGTAAGACGGATTAACCAACCTGCTTTAAATTGACAACATTTGGACCATAATTACGCCAAATGCACAATTTTTAAGTATACATACGAGAAACAATTATAAGATACTAAAACAACTAAAAAATATATTAGTAACACCGCAAGCTACGTAAAGAACTGTTTTCGCAAGATAATTTTCTTCAAAAAATTTTGTGGATATCAACGTTTTGCAAGCAGAAATAATTACAAATTGTCGCAACAATTTATTTACGAACATTTTTTAATTTTAAACTGGGCTAGTTATTTTTGCGTGCTTATTTCTATTAAAAAACCTCTTCTGTGAATTTTTTTGTCATTATTGAATTGAATTTTTTTTGTCATTATTGTTGCTTTCTATACTTATTATTATTTATCTTTAAACATGATGTCTTGATTAAATAGGCGACAGCT